CTGGAGACAGGGGACGCAGGTAGGGCCAGGCCCCGGAGGAAAAGGAGGGAGGGACCGGGGAAGACCAGAGACAAGGACACGGGAAGCCATGCTTCGGAGACGAAGCAGGGAGGGGTGACCAAGGCGGTGGTGCCAGAGGAGAGTCTCGTGAGACAGGAGGCGACACGAGCAGGGGGCAGACTTAGGACCAGACCTGGACGCTGCAGCAAACACCTGACCCGATGCAGCTACCTGACCAGACGCAGGGAATGGAGGAGACGCAGTGGTCAGTGTGTACAAGCTCGACCCCGGTCGACGAGTAAACGTGGCCAGGTGTCGGCCTGTCCGAGCGTCCGTGCAGTGGGTCACCCGCTGACTCGCACGAGTGAACTGGTGAACCCCCGCATCTTGAAGGTCAGCACCACTCACCAAGTTCGTAGAGAACGAGGGGAGGTAAAGACCAGACAGGGTGCCAGAGGGGGCCGCCGGACACGGGAGGACAGTGGAGAAGTGAGCAAGGACAGGGCCCCTAGAGGGGTCTGCCAGAGAGACTGCAACTGGCCGACCAAGCGGCGTGAGTGTGGTGCGGTCTCGAAAGAAGGAGCGGGAAGCCCCCGAGTCAAGAGTGAAGGTGTGAGAGGCCGGAGCCGACGCGGTACCTGAGAGAGCAGACTCATCCGCACCTGAGGAAGCAGACTCACTAGCACCTAGAGCAGCAGCCGCACGTGTACCTGGAGCAGGAGACACACTAGCACCCAGAGCAGCAGCCTCACCAGCAGCTAGAGCAGCAGGCTCGATACCAGGGTCAGGCGGGACGCACAGGTGACCGGCACGGTCAGCACTAGTAGGCAATGCATACATGGCAGTGAGAATAGCATCATAGTCAAGAGCAAATATATCTACCCTCTGCCTAAGCAACTCCACCCAGTCGGGGAGCTCAGCCTCGTCGCCAAACTCTGTACGCCAGTCGTCGCTCAGACGGGCGAAGCAGCGGGACTGTGTGTGACTAGGCGTCCCACAAGGCTGACTAGTCCGAGCACCAGTGCGAATCACGTAAGAGCAGCGAACAGAACTGAGAGACCCTCCACTCTGAGCGTACCACTCACGAAGCTGCTGGGGCGTGAGGGACTCACGCGGACGTCGCTGCGGCTGCATCTGGCTCCGCCAGTAGAAGCATGAGCAGGAGTAGCAGCAGTAAGGCAGGCAGCCAAGCAAGCGGCAGGCAGCGCGCTAGTAAGGCAGGGGCTCACCAGTGGTGGGAAGAGCAGGCTCGACGACTCGGCGACTCGGGGGTGCGGGCGGCTCGGGTGACTCGGCGGCACGGCGGCACTACAGCAACTTCGGTTCGGCGGCTCGGGCGACTCGGGCGACTCAGCGGTACGGCGGCTCGGCAGCAACTACAGCGCGGCGGCTCGGCGACTCGGCGGCTCGGGTGGCTGAGGTGGCGCTGCGGCTCGGGCGGCTTGGGTGGATAGGGTGGCTCGGCACTAGCTCGGCGGCGCCGGCGGCTCGGTGGTGACGGCGGGGCCGCTGGGGGACGACGGCGGGGCCGGGTGGAGCGGCGATGGGGCCAGCAGAGGTGGCGCCGGGGCCGCAGGGTAGGCGTCCGGGCCAGCAGAGGCGGTGCCGGGGCCAGCAGAGGTGGCGCCGGGGCCGGGAAGGGCAGCGCCGGGGCCGCAGGGGTAGGCGACGTGGCCAGTAGAGGCGGGGCCAGGTCGAGAAGAGCGGCGTTGGGGTCACCGGGGTAGGCGACGGGGCCGGCCGAGGTGGCGCCGGGGCCTGGAAGGGCGGAGCCGGGGCCGGGAAGGGCGGCGCTGAGGCCGCAGAGGTAGGTGACGAGGCCACTAGGGCGGCAGATCGGGGCCGCGAGGGCGGCGCGACGCGGCCGTTGCTCTTGGCAGTGTCATACCTTCATCCCCTGCAGACCAAGAGCTCCTAGCCTAGCCCACCAGAAGCAGCAGCATAGACAAGGAGCAGATGCACCGTATATCCGCAAGCTGTAGAGCAGATGGATAGCTACTTTTGCCCGATTCAACTGATAAGGCAATGGTATGCTGTGCATGTATTGTTGGGAGAATAGCAGCAGGGCCTATTTTTGGATTTTAGGTACTCTGATTTCCAGAGTAGTTTTTTTTCCCAACTCTGAAATCTAGGGTTGTTCCTGCGCCTTACTCTGATTTGTCAGAGTAACCCTATACTTTAAAACAAAAACCCTGGCACGTCAGAGTAATATTTTTCTCTACTCTGATGTTAGTTAAGTTTGGTGTACCATGACCTCAATAGGTTTTTGTTACGCCTTTTGTACTTGCATTTCCGCGTCGCCCACGTTTCCCCCCTCACTACGATGTTTCAGAGTGAGGTGTTGGCGGCACCGATAATCTGACTAAGGGCGTGTCCGAAGTGAAACGTCAATAGATGTCGCTGGATGTCGGTGAATGTCATCCCTCGGATCGACAGTTCCAACCGTCAGGATTTACCGACATCCCCAAACGGATGTCCACGGATGTCGACGTTTCACTTCGGACACCCCCAAAGAGCGTGTCTGAAGTGAAATGTCGACGGATGTACAATTTCGTCGGGGAATGCTGGCGAATCTCACTCCTCGGATTGAGCGTTCCGACCGTCAGGATTCCTCGACGTCCCTCAAAGTTTTGTCGGGAAACGTCGACGTTCACTTCAGACATAAAGAGAGAGGGGAGTGGTTGGCATCGTGCGTTGGTTGGGAAAGTTGTCAAACTACGGTAGCCAATCAGTGCTCATATTGCCGCCAACACACGACAGAAATCAAGAGAATGATCTCGACGATTCGGGGAAAATCCGCTAAACGCAGGGGGAGGTGGGGAGGGGAGGGGGGCGGGGGAGGGGGGGCCGGCAGGTATTCCCTATACAGAGTAAATTTGGTCCCCGAAAAAAAAACCCAGAGGCCTCAGAGTAAACTACAGCATAACTCTGGCAAATCAGAGAAATCGGAAGTCCCAAAAAAATTACCCAGCGGGTACAGAGTTACTTTCAAAAGTGACTCTGATTTTCAGAGAAACAGAGTAATTTACTCTGAAAACGTGAGGCCTGAATAGCAGGGGTTAATTTCTCATATAGGTAATTTGCTGGAAACTAGAGGGTATTTCGTGACTGGTGGTGGCAATGCGTTGTTGGATCATTGGATGGATTTCACGCGACTGGTAGTGGCACCTGAGAATGTATACGATTTGAGAGGCACAAGAAAACCCAGTCTCCACTGTTTGAGAGGAATAATGCTTCTTTTTTGTGTGGAAAATGTTTACCATGGACATGGCGGCATGGTCCTTGACTAAGCTAGCATCTGGGACTGAGCATCATGTGCCTGTAAGTACCATTACCACGCTCAACCGTTATGTTCCAGACTTGTAAAACTGGATATAGCACACAAATACAGCATGCAGAGTAAAAAAATGCCTCACTTCTTACGTGTCACGAGTTGCATTATGAGTGGGTATACTGCAAGCACAATGTACGGAGAAGTGAGAACTCGGTCCGCTTGAGCGATGGATTTCGTGAAACCAACAAATATGTGTACGGTAGATGCAGACATGCGGATGCGCGTACGAATTTGCAACACAAAAATCTCACCCAAGCAAACCATTCGCGTTTCGTGAACAGAACAAACTCGTTTGAACGACTCGACTGGACTGAATGAAATACTGTATGGATTTTTGGTGTTGCGCACCGGGACCGCGTCGCATCGCAATTATAAGTTATTCACGGTGACATTGTGCGGTTCGATTTCGTATTTCGCTCCAGCGCAAGCACAGAATCTCACGTCCCTCTTCCACCCATAATCTCCCACGCAATCCACGAAACTGAAGCATCCAGCAACGACTTCTCCCTTAGGTAGTCCAGCAACACAACACCGACCAAATATACGCCACCAGATTTACCTTTATCACCACCGACCAACAGCCACCGTACCGTACCAGCGGCACGATGTAAGATCCGTCTGGCCTCTGCTTGCTGACCAATGCTCGTATAAAAAGGCGAAAACTGATAGCTTTTCAGCATCAGTTCTCCTCCAGTCCATGTCACTCACTATAGTCTGTGATCCCTCAAATCACATATTCTTTTGCTAGTTCCTCAGCACTTGCTCCAGCCATGAGGCTCTCCAAGCTTTTCTTCGTCCTGCTCGCGCTCTCCCTGCTCGTGTCCCTCGCGCTGGCGCCGACGTGCCGCGCGAATGAGATCGACGCAGAAGACGACGACGCCGACGACGTTGAAGACGCCGTCAATTCCGCCGGCGAGGCGCCTGCTGGTGAGATTCGGTTTATTGCCGCATTGTTCATGGCGTTGATGATTCCAGAGCACGCGAGGGCACGTGAGGGCGCTGTTCGGCGAGAGCAGGCGGTTTCCGTGCAGTACCCTAGCGTCTTTTTGCTAATATCTACTTTGTTTGCGTTCCCTCATTCCAGGTCTCGTAGGAAAGCTTTTCGGCGCAAGCAGGCGGGGTTCCTGTGGTCGCCGCGCATGCTTTCGTGCCGGTCAGACTGCGAGGAGAAGAACAAGGAGTGCAACACCGATTACAGCGAGTGCAAGCGCGAGAACAGGGACAACGAGCACGACCACAAGAAGTGCACGCACAAGTACGAGAAGTGCAAGAAGAAGATCAAGAAGTGCCGCCGCAAATGCGACTAGAGCAGAACCCAAAAGCGCAAACGCGAATGCAGGATGTCTGGGAGATGGTAGATCAAATGGTATTTTCTCTCAGGCTGTGCTATGTTCCGTCAGAAGTAGTGTCTGCAAGGGATGTTCTGGAGATAAACTGATGGGCACTCGGGTGAGGTAGGTATTGATATGTAGTTGGCGAACCACCTCACATCAATGAAGGACTTCGGGCCATATTGGTATTTATTTGGTATGAGACATATTCCACAGCCAACCTCAGCCACTTGACCAGCGCCATGCTCCAACAAGGCTGCTGTGCCTCTAAGCTAGAAGCGCCCTGCCACCCTCCAAACAATCTCCAACACACTACAAGCAATCAACACCCTACCCTACAAATCATCTTCCCAGTATCGTGCCATACCACCACCACCACCACCAGCCCCTGCCGATGCACCTGCTGTGCTAAACGACTCTGCACCCACACCAGCCTTAGGAGCAGAAGCACCAAGAAGGCTGCTGTGTCCATACCCTTGCCCATTCAACCCATCCCAACCTCGCTCCTGCTCCCTGGCCTCCCACTGCCATACCCAACCTGCTGCCATCATCCAAACCTCACTAAAGAGCGCTCCAATAAAGCGCATAACGTCTGCCCAGGTGACAAAGGGCAGTGTCCCAGCAGCCACAGGGAGGAGGAGGAGCAGAGTGAGGTGGAAGAGGAGGCGTCTTACCCACGGGGGAGGGGGAGGGGGGATGATAAGAGAGAGGAGGGGGAGGAGGTGAGAACGGCCCCACTTGCTGCACACGAGGGCAAAAGCTCGTGGGTTGGTGAACAGTAGCTGGATGGAGGTGAAGCAGGAGGCAAGGAGAGTGATGATGAGGCGGGCCCATACTGAGAGGGACTGTAACGAGATGGTGGTGTAGAGAGGTGAATCTGTACATGTGGAAACGGATGCTGCTGCTTCTGCGACGCCTGATGGTCGCCGAGACTCTGAAGATGATGACGCTGATGGTGATGACGTGGATACAGATGCAGACGACGATCGCCGCCCAGAAGGCGATGAGGAGGGGCGCCTTGCAGATGACGACAAGGATGGCTCGCTCTCTGCTGGATTGCACACGGAAGAAGACGATGAGCGCCGTGATGCCGACCCACCGTCCGACCCTCGCCTGTTTGCCGCCCACCAGCGCCCCATCACCAGCCCATCCACGTCATCATCCATGACAGCTGTCACGATCTCAGCCATCCGCCTCCACACGCCCCCCACCAACTTCCCAATGCCGTGCCCCTTCCAACTCACGCCCCTTGTGCTGCCCCTCCCACTATTCCCTCTGTTATCTGAGTCAACATTGTTCCCCAAATGCTCTTTAAAACGCCCTGCTGGGTCCCTTGATTGCCCTGCTGGGTAGTTTCTAGAAGGCCCTGTTAGGTCTCTGCTTGGCACAATCTCTCCTCTTCTTCTCCGCATCCTCTGTGCAGCTGCTGCTACAGATGCGTCTGGTGTTCGTCCAAGCATGACTGCTGCTGATGCTCCTGCTGTGGCTACCCCTGCTGCTGCCCCTCCAGTTGCTGAAGTTCCTGCTGCTGCTACTCCTCCTTCCAAGCCTGACCCTGTACAAGCCTTCCCCCCGCTTCTCTTCCCGTCTTCCTCCGCCCCCATCCCCAACTTCCCCACCTCCTCCACCTCCTCCCCCGCCCTGCGCCCATACAGCACTCGAAACAGCTGCTCTTTCCGCCAGGCCACCATGGCATGCAGCAAACACAGCCCCTCCCAACACACCAGCCACAACACCGCATCCCCCCCTGCCAGCCGCACCGCATAGAACCCAAAGTAACCACACACGCACCCCAGGCAGAGCACAATGGTGGTAGCCGGGCGGGAGTGGGCGCTACCCGCCCCTGTAGCAGCAGCCACGTTATTGAGCAACATGATATAAGTAGTAGCCGACGCGACCAGGAACGCTAACAACATCTGCCCGGCAACGGTCAGCTTGCACCCAATCAGACGCAGCCACGTCACCAGCGACCGGTCCGGGCGGGAGAACGAAACCCCGAGAAAAGACGAAGCGTCCAACGCAGGATCGTGCCGATTCTGACAAGCCGCCACACCAGCAGCTAACCTCTCCCCTGCAAACCTCCACCCAGTCGCTCCAATCACCACCAGCATCACCAGCAACCCTGCGACCAACTCATCCGCACACGCCCTGGCAAACCCAGCTAGCTCCTCCCGACCTCTCCTCTCCCGCCCCTCCTGCTCCCTCCTCACCTTCTCCCCTTTGGAAAGCTCGACCTTCTGAGCCATGAGGTGATTGGAACGGTCTGTGGCGGCTAAGTGTTGGGCGTGGAGGGACACTGAGAGGGCGGATTGAGAGAGCTTGGCTGCTGAGAGGCGGTTTCGCTCCTCCAGGGCGGTTACGTAGCGCAGGGCGAGCAGGGAGGGGGTGGGGGCTGTGACTGTGTGGGATGTGAGCGCGTGGGATGTGAACGCATGGGATGGGGTTGTGATTGCGTGGGAGAGGGTTGAGTGGGTGTGGGATAGAGCCAACGGATGAGCAGACTCGGGCTGGTATGGATGTGGCTGGTACAGGTGTGACTGGTGCAGGTGTGACTGGTGCAGGTGTGATGATAACGGATTGTAAGAATGTGGTTCGCCTGACGTGGAGCTCGGATGGTAGGGCTGTGTGGGTGGGGCTGTTGGGGAGGTCGGAAAGGGTGCTATGGTTTCAGAAGCGTGTGAGAGAGGAGCATAGGGCAGTGAGACGGAATGGTATACGTGAGATGGAAGCGAGTGGGTTTCAGGAGTGCGAGCGGGGATGGAGCTCGTAGAGACAGAACGAGTGGGGATGGCAGGGATGGGGGACTCGGACTCAGGAGAGTGCGAGAGAGAGGCACAGGGTGGTGAGATGGAATGGAATGCGTGAGATGGAAGCGAGTGGGTTTCAGGAGTGAGAGTGGGGATGGAGCTTGTAGAGACGGAACGAGGGGGGATGGCAGGGATGGGGGACTGGGGCTCAGGAGAGTGCAATTGAGGAGCACAGGGTGGTGAGTCGGAATGGCCTGCGTCAGACAGAGGCGCGTGGCTTTCAGGAGTGCGAGAAGATTGTTTTTGAGGTGCCTCAAAAACAAGAGCATAGAATGGTGAGACGGATTGGTAAGCGTGAGACGGAGGCGAACTTGGAGCGTGTGTGTCCTGCTGCACCTGCTGCTGCCGGTGCTGCTGCATCTTGGTCTGCTCTTGCAATCGCCTCGGCTCTCCTTGCTTGCTCTTCCTCCCACTCTCTTCCTTCCCTGTGCCTTGTCCCTTGTGCTTCCTGCTCTGCTCTTGCTTCCCTGTGCTACCACCCTTTCTCATCCCTCTGCCTGCCTTACACTCTCCCCTCATGCCCCACTCCTCTTCTTCTCCTCCATTTTCCTTAGACAGTCCCTTCTTCCTCCCCCTCTTCTCCCTCTGCTCGCCCTTCTCCTTCTGCCCCCTCTTCTGCGTCCGCTCCCCCTTCTCCTTCTGCTCGTCCGTGTGACCCTCTACCCCCGCAGCTACCTCGCTCTGCAGCAGTACGGCAGCCATGGGGTCATACGAGGCAATGAGCGAGCTCAACACTCCCACTCCATGCTCTTTCTCCTCCCCATCCTCCTCCACCCCCTCCCCTCCCACCACCTCATCCTCCACCCCCTCTTCCCCAGACCCCTCTTCCCCCACCGCGACTACCCCTGCACCTGCTCCCGCCTCCTTCCCCAACTCGCCCTTCCTTGCACTCTCTCTTTCAAAACCCCCAGTCGTTCCGCCTGAACACCCATGCCCATGCCTGCCAAGCCGCCACCCTGATCCAGCAGCGGAAGGAGCAGAGGCAGCGGCAGCAGCAGGAGGCGTGGCAGCAGAAGGAGTAGCAGCAGGAAGAGGAACAGGGACAGGACCAACTCCAGCAATCGGCGCAGCATTAGAAACGGCATTACGGGAAGCAGCAGCAGGAGACAGGTTGAAGGCATGGCTTGGAACGGCTTGGTTCGGCACAGTCCGAGCCAGCGCCCTTCGTACACGAGCGCAGGTTCGGAAGGTGGAGAGAGCTGCTGCGAGAAATGCGGGGGGAAGAGGGGCGTGCTTCACCGCTGCTGCTGCTCCTGCTGCACTTATTGCTGATACACATGATGTTGCTGCTTCACCATCTGTACCAGCAGTCACTACACCACCACAGCTTCTGCTGCTGCGTACTGTATTTACAGCACAACCAGCTTGTGCTCCGAGTGGAAGCACCAGCTCAGACAGAGACACCTCTATCATCTGGGGAATGTGACCGAGGTGGGAGGAGGGGGAGGGACGGAAGGGGAGGAGGCGAAGGGAGTGGAGGAAGGAGAAAGGAGGAAAGGGGGAGGGGGAGAGGGGGGGGGGGGGGGGGTGGCTGGCGATTATGATTGGGAACCGAGTTTTGGTTGTATACCTTGCAGGATTTAGTGAGGTGCGGGTGTGCAGACTGGCAATAGGAAGGGGTCGGGATTTAGAGAGGAGATGATACAAGCGGGAGGATGTCAAACGGAGAGGTAAGAGGGGCGACAAGCCGCTCAAGGGAGGGATTACCTGTGAAAGCTCATCGATAGGGATGGGCTTTTGTGACGTCAGCACATGCGACTCCACCTGCACGGTTCCAACACGTCCACGAGATCAAGGTGACACATGGGTTTTTACCTCAACATTGTATTAAGGTGAGGTTAGAAACATCAACCATTGTGAGCTCCTCAACCGTCATGAGGTGAAAAAACATCGTAATCGCGCTAATCCAAAATTGCGAGGGAGTAATGGTGATCGCGAAATATTATGCAATGCAACTTCAAGCGTGCAGAGAAGAAGCTGGTAATGGGCCGTGAGAAGCGAGTAGAGCCAGGAGCAAAATAAATTTACCTCGGAAATGACAGCGCCGAAGGCCACTCCGAGCGACTGAGCCCACTGATCCGCAAACTGCACGTTAAGTCCAACGGTCGACCTGACATGCGTGTGGTCCGTGGAGCAGCTCGCGTGACTACAACGAACGTGACTGGATCGGTCGAGCAATCGAGCTTCGTCATGTGTCTCCTCGGTCCTCCGATTCGTAAGCTCCTCGTTCCCAATCCTGCGTTGTGCGTCGATCGCGGCGTGGATTTCGCTGGTCGCGACCCCGTTGTCGCTCGTTCGAGTCGCGTCAACGGTCACATCACAGCTTGTGCAGCATGACGTGGCTCCACGTTGTTCGCTGCTCACAGATTCCCGAAAATGCGGATCTGAGCCAGAGGGAATGGAATCGAGATCACTTTCAGCCACTTCGTTGCTGCGAAGGGTAACAGCGCCGTCTCGTGAAGCATGCAAGCTCTCGCCGTTTCGTGAAGCACGCGAACCGTTTTCCACCTCCAAAAGCGTCGTCCCGTCGTTACAAGGATCACTGAAGATGTCACTGCTGACGTCGGATTCCTTCACGAGTTCCGGCTTACTATCTTCGACAACGGAACTTAATTCGCCAACCATGTCGCACCAATTGCGAATTATAATCGCTTCTTACATTGAAAATCGGACTAAAACATGGATCCAAGCCAGAGAATCCCTCCAAGAGACGTGCCAACAAGTCTAGTAGCTACGAAAGCAGAACCTTAAAAACAGAGAATGAACCACGCTGATCGCCTGACCTCTTCGTGACAGATTATCCATAGATGATGGTTCTCTGACCATCCGAGGAATTTATTTTCAGAGAGCTTTGAGAAAGGAGGTGCATGCGGAGCTCAGGAAATGGCGGGAAAGGAGACTGTCAGAAGTGTCAGTGTACGAGGAGGACCAGGAATTTCCCACACTGGAATTCAAATTAGTCACGTATAATGGTATTTTGCGAAACCATTCGAGCAATGTTCCTGCTAGTAGAGCACATTTACTTGTATGATTTGAGAAATCGATTCTGTAGATGATTGCGCAAAACCTTTCCCAAGGCGCTCTCGTTTGTTGTATAAGCAGGCTGTGTATCCCTCTGAGCACCGCTTTGAGCCGTAGGGAACCCAACAAAACCGTGATATGCGAATTCAGAGCACTGCGAACTTCTCTCAGCTTCAGATCCTCTGTTGTTTCAAACTGATTGAGCTGTCTCATTCAGCTTCGGTGTTCGCTTCCCAATCCATTGGGAACGTCAAATGCGTTGCACTGACAAACAGCTGGTCCCGCCATGGTTGCCGTTTCACGAGTCATGAATTCGCGCGCGATTCAGGTCAGGGAATTCAGCCACGTTTCGCTTAGAACGCTTATCACCGCACCTCCCTCTCAGGCTCTTAGTCTACGCTGTAGACCGTGTTCGAGCGTTCTAATGACAGCACCTTTTGCTGAAGTCACCTCGGTCACAAGCACTCGGCTCAAAGTCAGCTCATTAGATGCCAACCGTCAGATATCCGTTTTGCATGCTGACGTGTACACCTCGCGCTTCATTGGCCCAGGAAAACCCCTGAGGTTCTCAACGAATCCGCGTTTAGGTCGATCTGATCCGTTGAGTCACCTCCGTTACACTCACGTTACTGATCCCAGGATGGATTCGGCGAAATCAGCTGCAGCGTCTCGATATCTAAACATCAGATGCTATTCCGGTCAAGCAGACAATGCCTCATCAGGCATTTTGTCATCAGGCACTGGCTCGGTAGCAGGCATTGGTTCGGCAGCACAAAATGGCTCGGCAGCAGGCAGTGGGTCGGCAGCAGGCGACGCAGCAGGCGATGGATCAGGCGACGGACTGAAGGGTTTGAACGAGGAGCAGCGAGCAGCGGTGGTGGCATCGCCACACGGCTGCGTGCGCGTGGTGGCTGGTCCTGGATCCGGCAAGACCCGCGTGCTCACACACAGGGTCGTGAATTTGATCAAGAACCTCGGAGTGCACCCCCGTAAGATACTGGTAAGCTGGCTGGTCGCATGAATTCTGAAATTGAAAGAACCTAAAAGACATTCTGAACTGTATACACTTATTAAAATGCTGCCGGGATGACCCTTAGTGGCAATTATGGGGGGTTGTTTTCGTTTTTGAAGTTTGCTGACGTTCCGTTTTGGCCTGTGCCTGTGCCTGTTCCTTTGCATGTGCCTGTGTCTGCAGTGTATCACCTTCACCAACAGAGCAGCCAATGAGCTTGTGACACGTCTCCAGGACCTCCTGTCTCCCGAGGCTGCTGCAGCTGTCCATGTGAGTCACGCTGGTTACCACATTCGTCACTATTACCACAGTTACCCCATTCGTCACAGTTACCACACTCATCACAGCTACCACAGTTACCGCAATTTTTCTTATCTTATGTGCTACTGCCTGTCTCTTGAGGGACGTCATGCTCCACTTCTAATGACGTTCCCCCCTGCACGCTTCAAATGCTCTCTGCTTGGCTCTATGTCTGGTTGGTTTGCTCTTTCTGGTTGGCCCCTCTCTTTGTGCTTGGGATGCATGCAGGTGGGGACCTTTCACGGCATTGCAGCTCGCATTCTCAGGCACGAGATGCTTCCCTCTCTTCGCAACCGAAGGTGAGTAAGGGTGGCGAGGGTGTACACTGGTTTTTGTTTTCTTTTCTTTTGTTGCAATGCGTATGTGATTTTCTTTCCTTTTTACTATAGTTATATCACAAATTATCACCCTTTTTCCTCGAATGTCAATGTTTCGCCCTGGTGCTCTCAAGCGCCTCTCTTTGCCCATTCGCCTTTATCTGCCTGCCTGCAGATGCTACAGGGACTACACCATATATGACGAGGATGATTCACTGCGAGTGATAAAGGAGATTGATAAGCAGGTGAGACCACATCTCGGGGTCCATCCATGCAATAAATACATGAACCCACGAACACATGGATCCATGAATTTATATTACCATAAGCCTGTGAATCCAGAATCCCATGGACTTATAAACCCATGAACCCTGAACCCAAGACCCGTTCCCTCTATCCATCTCATCCTTTCAATCCCCTGTTCACCCCAGGAGAAAGAAAGACTCGCTAAGATCAGCCCATATCAGCCAGGGAAATCCAATTCAGCAGCAGCACGAGGAGCAGCAGCAGGAGCCAATCCGGACGGCCTATACGAGGCCATGTCACATCTCTCTCTCCAATCAGGCGACGCCACGTCAGCAGCACAGGCAGCAGTGGCAGAAGTGCTGGGGGATAGAGGGGGTGGGGGAGCGGGAGGAGATGGGGTAGACGGGGATAAGGAGGGAAACCGGTTGAAAAATATAAGGGATGCGGTGTTGAGGTATAAGGAGGGGGGGATGAAAGAGGACATGAGGGGGAGAGTGGGGGAGAGGAGGAGAGGGAGGTTCGAAGGGGAGTTGAGCATAGGAGGCTCCATTCCCAGATACGCGAAGCTGTACGAGGTGAGATTGGAGTATAATATCGCACACTGTTATAATGGTGTTGCGCATGACGAGGTGAGATGGGAATGATGTTTTGCACACTGTTACTAAGGTGTTGCGCATGACGTGAGGTGGGATGCGTTTTGGGTCAACCTTGAAATCGTTTGGCTGCATTCCCAGATACGCCAAGGTGTATGAAGTGAGATTGTAAGAAATCGTTTGTATGGGTATACACAGAGAGTTTAAGGTGAGGGATGGTGTATTAGTGAGCACGTATCTTTCATCCGTCTTCCCCCCCTCTGCACTTCTCGCCCTCCCTGTCCCTGTCAGGAAGAGCTGAGGTGCAGCAACGCGTTGGATTTTGACGACCTCACACACTTCCTCCTCGGCCGCTTCCACTCTCAACCTTTGAAGCGGCTCAAAACCCCTCCTTTCCGTGCTTCCTGAGCTCCCTGGTTCACTTCCCGCCTTCCCTGTCCCTGTCAGGACGAGCTGAGGCGGAGCAACGCGTTGGACTTTGACGACCTCACACACTTCCTCCTCGACCTCTTCCACACCCAGCCCCACGTGCTCAAGGTGAGCTCTCTATGATATGCTCTCTCACGGAGGCTTTCAATCAGTACACCTGATTTTGACCACCTCACACATTTCCTCCTCGACCTCTTTCACTCTCAGCTGCACGTGCTCAAGGTGAGCCCGCGTGCAAGGTGCGGATTTGTGCATCTTTCTGTCGCCCATCCACGCATTTCCTCCTCGGCCTCTTTCACACGCAGCCCCATGTGCTTAAAGCTCAAGTATACATTTGTCAGTGGGGTTTCGGGTTTTACAGTGTGCCTCACGGTTTTGCCCCAACGTTCAAGTTCCTAAGGATTTTGAATCCCAAAAGCCCCCCTCTTCTTTTCAATGTTCAACTTTTTACATGTTCACAGAAGCCCCCCTCTTTACAATGCTATCAATGTATACAGAAGCCCCCCTCTTTACAATGCTATCAATGTATACAGAAGCTCCCCTCTTTACAATGCTATCAATGTATACAGAAGCCCCCCTCTTTACAATGCTATCAATGTATACAGAAGCCCCCCTCTTTACAATGCTATCTTATGGGAGATGATGTGTTGGTGGCTATTGAGTCGACTAAAATTCATGTGTTGGTGGTTGGTGCTCAGAATGAGGTTCCCCCTTTTCAGTGCAGTGCTTTCTTATGGAAATGCTTTCGTACAATGCTGCACGTTTGTGAGCCCCTCCGACATGCCCCTCCCTCCGACATGCCCCTCCCTCCGACATGCCCCTCCCTCCGACATGCCCCTCCCTCCGACATGCCCCTCCCTCCGACATGCCCCTCCCTCCGACATGCCCCTCCCTCCGACATGCCCCTCCCTCCTGCATGCCCCTCCCTCCCGCATGCCCTGCCCCTCCCTCTCACGTGCCCCTTCCACGTGCCCCTCTTGTTGCTACTGGCAGAAATACCAAGAGCGCTTTCAGCATGTGTTGGTGGACGAGTTTCAGGACACGGATTCGGTGAGTGGGATAATGAGACGTGTCGCAATATTGAAGCGAGGTAGGGAATAATGAGGCTACCAGTCTCTGGTATCACGGCAGGTTTCAGCATGTGTTGGTGGACGAGTTTCAGGACACGGATTCGGTGAGTGGGCAGCGTTGCAGCACCTCTCAACTCCCCTGCTTTCTCCCTGCTTCTCTGTCGTCTCCCTCTCCTCCAGTTCCAGTACGAGATAGTGCGGCTACTGACACTCAACTCCAAGCGCCTGTTCGTTGTGGGGGACATTGACCAGGTGCGACCAGGTGCGACCAGGTGCGACCAGGTGCGACCAGGTGCGACCAGGTGCGACCAGGTGCGACCAGATGCGATCAGGTGCGACCAGGTGCGACCATGTGCGGCCAGGTGCGACCAGGTGCGACCAGGTGCGACCATGTGCGACCAGGCGGGGCTTGTTGACTAAGTGTGACGTTTTGATTACATTTGATTGGATTCAAAGTTTCTGTTTGTTATGGGAGACTCCTAATCGAGTCCCCAACTGCATGCTTCGTCACTCTCGCCTCCGGCCTTTGCTTGCTCCTGTCTTATCCACACGTTTCGTTTTGTCATTTCTTACATGGGTCCACCCATCATTCTTACATGGGTCCACCCATCATTTCTTACATGGGTCCACCCATCATTTCTTACATGGGTCCACCCATCATTTCTTACATGGGTCCACCCATCATTTCTTACATGGGTCCACCCATCATTTCTTACATGGGTCCACCCATCATTTCTTACATGGGTCCACCCATCATTTCTTACATGGGTCCACCCATCATTTCTTACATGGGTCCACCCATCATTTCTTACATGGGTCCACCCATAATTTCTTACATGGGTCCACCCATCATTTCTTACATGGGTCCACCCATCATTTCTTACATGGGTCCACCCATCATTTCTTACATGGGTCCACCCATCATTTCTTACATGGGTCCACCCATCATTTCTTACATGGGTCCACCCATCATTTCTTACATCACCCATCATTTCTTACATGGGTCCACCCATCATTTCTTACATGGGTCCACCCATCATTTCTTACATGGGTCCACCCATCATTTCTCTGTCGTTGCATGTGCGCACAACATGGCATGGCAGTGCATCTATTCCTGAAGGGGGGCAGGGTACCACTACCTGCAGCGGCTTCCTGCCTGCCTGCCTGCCTGGTTGCTCACTTGTTACCCTCCCTCCCTTCCTACCTTGTGTGCATGGCATGGCAGTGGATCTACTCCTGGAGGGGAGCAGAGTACCACTACCTGCAGCGGCCGCCTGCCTGCCTTATTGGTTACTTGATACCCCCCCCCCCTCTCCCAATTGCGTGCGCACAACATGGCATGGCAGTGCATCTACTCCTGGCGCGGAGCAGAGTACCACTACCTGCAGCGGCTTTTAGACGAGGACTTTGATGACGTCACCACGCTGCAGGTGAGTGAGTGACTGAGTGAGTGCGGGAGTGTGAGTGAGGGTGTGCGATCGAGTGAGTGAGCGAGCGAGTGAGTGAGTAAGCAAGACCCACGTCCCCCACCTCACCACATCATGAGTAAGCGAGTGAGGCCACCCGTGCATGGTGGGTGGAATCAGCTTGCATTAATACTCCCATGCTGCCAATCTTGTTCTCACTTCTTTTGAGTCGACTCAAAAACACCACATCCTTTGAGGCCACCCGTGCACGGTGGGTGGAATCAGCTTGCACTAATACTCCCATGCTGCCAATCTTGTTCTCACTTCCATCACTGAAAGTAGTAATCACTGTCTCTAATGTTTCTTGTATCCCCCCCGTCCCCTCCCCTCCACACCCCCCTCTGTCCACTTGTACCCTGCACTTCAGCTTCGCAGCAACTACCGGTCATCCCAGAGCATCCTGCAGGCAGCAAACCGCGTGATTCAAGGCTGCTCCTTTCCCCACGTGTCGGCCAAACTCCCCCACACTCCCACCCCCACTCCTCCACACCCGCCAGCTTCGCAGCAACTACCGGTCATCCCAGAGCATCCTGCAGGCAGCAAATCGAGTGATTCAGGGCGGACCCAGGGACAGGCGCGTTGGGGGAGGCACCCTGGAGCTCAAACCAACCAAGGTGTGGAGCGTGAGGGGACGAGGATAAGGGGGTTAGACGGAGAGAGGGTGCTCTGGGATTGAATGAGTGCGTGCGAGGGAGCAGGCAGCCAAGTGAGTGATTCAGTTCAGGGCGGGCCCAGGGATAGGCGTGTTGGGGGTGAGGCACTCTGGAGCTGAAACCAACGAAGGTGAGAGGTATGAGTGGTATGAGGGGGTAAGGGAGGGAGGAGGGCAGAGGCAGCATGATGGCTAAATGGATGGACGCTGCTATTCTCGACCATAGTGACCCTGCTGCCACTGCCAATGATCTCGATGCTGGTGCTGATGCTGTAGGTGCTGCTGCTGCTGATGTTGCTGGTGCTGATGCTGTAGGTGCTGCTGCTGCTGATGTTGCTGGTGCTGATGCTGGTGGGAGCACTGACAGCGTCAGCACTTCCAGTGCAGATAGCACCTCTGGTAAATGCACAACCGGAGCAGAAGCAGTACTAGCTGATGTGAGTGCAGCGGATGTGAGTGCAGTGGATGTGACTACACGGATGGAGTGGCCCGCACCGGGGACTGCAGCTCCAGTCCCGCACCGGGGACTGCAGCTCCAGTCCCGCACCGGGGACTGCAGCTCCAGTCCCTCACCCGGGACTGCAGCTCCAGCCACGCACCCGGGACTGCAGCTCCAGTTCCCCACCCGGGACAGCAGCTCCAGTCCCGCACCGGGGACTGCAGCTCCAGTCCCTCAATGACTAAGGATTTTCATATCCCTCTCTCTCCCTCCTCATTACCCCTGTTTCCGTCCACCCACTTCCCCCCAGCCCCCAGGCCATCCGGTGTTCTTCTCCTTCTTCCCCTCGTGCGCCAGTGAAGCCGCAACAATTGCTGAGGAGATAGAGAGTCTGGTTGACCCCGCTGAGCTCTCCCCCTGGCGGGGGCAAGCAGGCGCGAGGGGGGGCGCGGGGGGATGGGCGAGGGGAGGGGCGGGGGCAGGGGGAAGGGCATGGGCGGGGGGAGGGGCGAGGGAGGGGGCAATGGGACGGGCGAGGGCAGGGGAGGGCGGAGGGGCGAGGGGAGGGGGAATGGGAGGGGAGATGGAAGGGGAGGTGGGAGGGGAGGGAGCAGGGGCGAGTGGGGGCTATGCATGGAGGGACTTTTGTGTGCTGTACCGCACACACGCTCAGGCCGTGCAGCTGCAACAGGGGCTGGCGGACCTCGCGATTCCATGCATTGTCGTGGGCGGGAGCACTCTGTTCCAGAGGAAGGTGGGTTGCTGCTTTGATGTGCCTCGTGTTGCCTGGGGGCCAAGGCATCTCAGCCAAACAACACTCCAGCAGGGGCTGGCGGACCTCGCCATCCCATGCATCGTTGTGGGAGGGAGCACGCTGTTTCAGAGGAAGGTGGGTGCTGCCCCCTCGTTTCCGAAGGAGTGAGCAGCTGTGGTGGTTAGGGACCTGATAGCGTACATGAGAGTGGTCGCCAAATCAGCAGACGGTGTTGTTGCTCATCCCACCCTCACTCCCCTGCCCTCTGCTCCCTCCACTCCCTCCACTCCTGTCCCTCCCCCTCGCAGGTGGTGAAGGATCTCATAGCATACATGAGATTGGTCGCCAATCCAGCAGACAGTGTTGCACTGGGTCGGATATACAACACGCCCTCCAGAGGTATTCCTGTGTTTACCCTCGGGGACTTACGGTGTTTACCGTGCAGGGGTATTATGTTTTTCTCCTCTATGGATAGTCTGGTCTTTACCTGAAAAAGTTGTCCTCCGTGTTTTTTATTTTTTTATCTGTTTTTTTCCACTTCACCTGCCTTCCCCCCACCTCCTTCTTCCTCTAGAATCTTCCTCCCTCCCCTTCCTTCTCCAACTCCCCCCTTCCTTGCCCATGGGGGCCTGAGCGAAGTCATGGGCCATCGACAAGCCAAGTCACTGGTGCAGCAGTGGTTCGGACCATTGACACTCCCTTTCTCCCTCATTACTTGTCCTCCCCTCTGTACCTCTCTGCACCTCTCTTTCTTCCTCATCACTCCCGTCCTCTCTACCTTCACCTTGCCTCCCTTGCACCATGCAGGCCTGGGGGCGAAGTCATGGGCGACAGTGCAGCAGTGGGCTCAGGGCCTCGACTCCCCCACGGGCACTGCAATCCTGGTACTCGTGCATCTGCACGGCCTGTCTTTCATCCATTCGTCCATCTTCCATGCATCCTCTTGCCATCGTCCATGCATCCTCTTGCCATCCTTCTTATGTTGAAAATTCCCTTCTTTTCTCCCTCCTATCTTGCAAACCCCATTCTCCACTCTCCCATCCTCCATCCTCCCCTCCTCCACCCTCCCACTTCACTTCAGATCCATGCATTGTCCAGGAACTAGCAGCATGCCAATTGCTTTCCTCCCATTGCTTTCCCATCATCCACACTCCCATACTCCACACTCTCCCATCCTCCACATTCTCCATCCTCCACTCTCCCATCCCCTACTCTCCCATCCTCCACACTCTCCCATCCTCCACACTCTCCCATCCTCCACTCTCCCATCCTCCACTCTCCCATCCTCCACTCTCCTATCCTCCACTCTCCCATCCCCTACTCTCCCATCCCCCACTCTCCCATCCTCCACTCTCCTATCCTCCACTCTCCCATCCCCTACTCTCCCATCCTCCACTCTCCCATCCTCCACTCTCCCATCCTCCACTCTCCCATCCTCCACTCTCCCATCCTCCACTCTCCTATCCTCCACTCTCCCATCCCCTACTCTCCCATCCCCCACTCTCCCATCCTCCACTCTCCTATCCTCCACTCTCCCATCCCCTACTCTCCCATCCTCCACTCTCCCATCCTCCACTCTCCCATCCTCCACTCTCCCATCCTCCACTCTCCCATCCTACACTTTCCCATCCTCCACTCTTCCATCCCCCACTCTCCCCATCTTCCACTCTCCCATCCTCCACTCCTATCCTCCACTCTCGCATCCTCCACACTCTCCCATCCTCCGCTGTCCAATTCTCTACTCTCCTCCACTTCCCATCACATTAATTTGACTAGGAACTAGCACTGGGCAAGCATGCAGACAACCCTCCTTCCATCTCCAAAAAGGCCAGGTCAGAAAACAGCCTTTCTCTTTTATCCGGTGCAATTGTTCGTTCTTATTGGTCTGATTCACGTACAAAGCTTCACATTTCTAGTCTCTGTTGTTTCCTAGTTCACATCAGTTGATCTGTAACAAGCGCTTTGATCAAGGAACTTTTATATCCACCCACATCCCCTCCCTCTGTCTCTCCTCGTGTCTCAGGGAGAACCCTCTCAGCTTCGCACACCTCATCCTCTCCTTCCGTACTGCTGTAGGCACAGTGGATGGCGACAACTCAACTCTGAGTGCTTCGAGTCTTGATGGGAACAAAAAAAAGGGAGGGAAGGGGCCGAACCTGAACCTGTGTGTTCCACCACCTACATCCCCTCCCTCCCTCTGTGTCCCGTCCTGTATTATGTCTCAGGGAAAATCTCCTCAGCTTCGCACACCTCATTCTCTCCTTCCGTACTGCTGTAGGCACAGTTGATGGCGACAACTCAAGTCTGAGTGCTTCGAGTCTCAGTGATTCGAGTCTTGATAAATCAAGTCCCGGTGATTCGAGTCTTGATAAATCAAGTCCCGGTGATTCGAGTCTTGGTGATTCGGGGCTAAGTGGGAGCAGTGGTGTGACCGAAGGGCTGCCTCATGCGGGAGGGCTGCTGAGGACTATAGTGGATGTGTGAGTACAGGGAGAGGGTTGCATGCTTGTTAATTGAGGCACAGAGCAACAGCAGCAGCACAAAAAGTAGCAGCAGCACCGGTGTTCTTGAAGAAGCAATCATCAGCACATTTTTCACTCATCCTTTCCAATCTCTCTTTCAATACCTCTCGTCCAAACTTATTATAGTTCCTCTTCCCCATCCCTTTTCTCCACCCCTCTTCCCCACACCTCTTTTCCATACCTCTTTCCCATACCTCTTTCCCGTACCTCCTGTCGAGGCTCGAGTTGAAGCAGGAGTACAGCCCGGCAGCAGCAGCAAAGAGCCGGTTCCTGCTTGTTTATTCCTCTTCCCCATACCTCTTCCCCATACCTCCTGTTCAGGCTCGGGTTGAAGCAGGAATACAGCCCGGCAGCAGCAGCGGCAGCAGCAGCAAAGAGCCGGTCCCCCAACCCTGCTGCGTTGAGGCAGCGGCATGAGGAGGAGGGGAAGCGAGCTCTTGACCAAATGGAACGATTGCAGGTGGGTGTGATGGGAGGGTGGGTGGGGATTGATTGGTTTTTCTTGGTGGTGGGTGTGGTGGTGGGGGGGTTGTGGTGGGGGGGGGTGGGGGGCTGTATGGCGTAGTAACAGCACGGTTGAGAGGAGCTGAGAGGATTTATGGCAGTAATGGAAGGAAAATCCTGCCCGACCCTGCTCCCCGAGGAGATGTAAGGAGGATGAGAGAGGAGGAGGACGAGCTTATTTGAAGAAAACAGCCATAAGTGTAAGTAGAATGCTGCTTATAAATCGTGTTCTAATCCACTTCTGTAACTCGTTCCTTTGACCTTCCCGAACCGATTGCTGATACTGCAGGACTTGGCGAACAGGTTCGGCCCAACCTGTGGGGTTGGTATGGAGGGAGTGCGGAACTTTCTGGAGCAGATTGCACTACTTTCAGGGGAGATGCACGAGTCTGGGGTGAGTCAATAACGAGTCTGGGGTGAGTCAATAACGAGTATGGGGTGAGTCAATTACGAGTATGGGGTGAGCTAATAACGAGTATGGGGTGAGTCAATAACGAGTCTGGGGTAAGTCAATAACGAGCCTCGGGTGAGTCAATAACGAGTCTGGGTGAGTCAATAACGAGTATGGGGTGAGTCAATATCGAGTCTGGGGTGAGTCAATAACGAGTCTCGGGTGAGTCAATAACGAGTCTGGGGTGAGTCAATAACGAGTATGGGGTGAGCCAATAACGAGTATGGGGTGAGCCAATAACCTGTCCGGGCTCAGTCAATAGCGAGTATGGGGTGAGTGTGCAAATAGCAGTCAAGGGGTTCCACGCTGTTATATGATTCCTATAATTGTTTGTTTTCCTCTCTTCTTTCTTTCCGGTTGCAGCGAGGAATGCTGCAGCATTCCTAACCTATCCTCCTTCCTCCCTTCTTCTCCCTCCCGCCTCCTCGCTACAGGGAAAGGAAGCACTGCTGTCAGCCAATGCGGTGCGGCTGATGACCATCCACAAGGCCAGGGTTCTGGAGTTCCCGGTGGTGTTCCTGACAGGCATCTATCTCAATGCACCCTCACACACCCTCACACACCTACACATTGTTACTACCTGTGCTGCTTGTTCCCCTTGGCAGGGCAAGGAGGGACAGCTGTCAGCCAACGCTGTGCGGCTGATGACCATCCACAAGGCCAAGGGGCTGGAGTTCCCTGTGGTGTTTCTGAGTGCTAGCTGCCACAACCCTACCCTATCCTCCTTTCGCTCCGCCTTCCTCTCTTTAGCATTCCCCCTCTTCATTGCAGGGCAAGGAGGCACAGCTATCAGCCAATGCTGTGCGGCGGATGACCATCCACTAGGCCAAGGGGCTGGAGTTCCCTGTGGTGTTCCTGACAGGCTTATTCCTCAACACACCCTCACACTGTGATACCTACTTCCCTTCCTCTGTCCTCCCTCCTCATTACAGGGCAAGGAGGGACAGCTGTCAGCCAATGCAGTGCGATTAATGACCATCCACAAGGCCAAGGGGCTGGAGTTCCCTGTGGTGTTTCTGACAGGCCTGTTTCTTTACACACTCTTCTGTCAATCCTCTCTCCATGACAGGAGCAAGGAGGGACAGCTGTCAGCCAATGCGGTAAGGCTGATGACCATCCACAAGGCCAAGGAGCTGGAGTTCCCTGTGGTGTTCCTCACAGGCATCTCTATCAACACACCTTCACACACCTTCACACTGTTATATCCTTGCACTGCTCTCTCCCTTTCCAGGGCAAGGAGGGACAGCTGTCAGCCAACGCAGTGCGGCTGATGACCATCCACAAGGCCAAGGGGCTGGAGTTCCCTGTGGTGTTCCTGACAGGCCTGGAGAATCGAATCTTGCCGCTGATTCAGTATAGGAGGCGTGAGGAGGAGAGGCCTGGGTGGGAGAGGGTTACTATAGGGACGGGGGGTAAGCATTCCCACCATCATCAGCAACAGCATAATCATCATCATTCTCATCAAAAGCAGCAGGTTGCGAGGAGAGGAGACTCTAGGGTACAAGGCGGGGGGGCGGAAAAGGAGGTTATGTTTGATGAAGAGGAGAGGAGACTTTGTTACGTGGCAATGACTCGCGCTCAAGATCGACTGTAAGTGGCTACCTGTATTGTCGTCAATCCGAAATCCCATTCTTGTGGTCCCCTGTTTGTCTATGTTTGTATTTTTTTGAAGTATTTTTACTCGTTTACTCATTGCGCCACAGGTACTTGAGTGGTGCACAACAGCGCAGAGTTTATAGAGAAACCTTGCAATCATTGGAGCCGTCAGTCTTCCTTAACGGTCTACAGGATCTTGCACCGTTTCCAGGGAATATATAGGCCAAGGCGTCTTCGGTAACATAACGACTAGCAAATCACATTTCTTTATGTGGAAACATGTATTAAGATATACGCTCAGTCTAATTTTTCCCTTACCTTTATTTCGAAGCGTCCTCTGGTGCAACATATGTCAACCATTGGCAGTGAGTTCCCAAGGGCCCACCCATCACATCGCGCACATCAATCCATTCCCCCCTTCCTGACTTCGAAGTGACTACCTCAGTTGTCACAAGGCTTCATTACTTCCCGAGAATCGCGAACCACCTAATTTGCGTGAATTCGTAGCCTCCTATTGTCTTGCACATCTGTCAATTTCGCAAGCTCGAGCCGTCTCAAAACCCTGTTTGCATATTTTTACTCATGTGTAAGGAATTTACACCGAGAATCTCGTGACATCGAGGTTCTCGAAATGTTCGCCCTACGCGATTCTTTTTAGTTCCATTATTCATCTATCCGTCGCCATCGCTGATACCGCGCTGTCATTCTAATACGAGATTTTTGTAATTTCCGCAAATCGTTTTGCGGGTAACACGGTGTCCCGATTGTACCAAGCAGCAGCATAAGGTGACTATTGAGTCGCGCGAAGGCCTGCTGATTAGATTCAAGGTCAAGGTTAAGAAGCTGGTTAGCTTCTAAGCAGCATAAGCGTCGGGATACTGACGTGTCAGGAGCAACGGCAGCGGGAACTGACGGCTCGTTTCCGCAGGAGGGTTTAACGAAGAAGACGGCTTCAAAGCGGGAGAAAGAGTAAACGAAGAAGAAGGGTGAGAGAAGCGGTGCTGGACCAGAGAGAGACTCAGCGAATGGCGGGCGTTACCGATGCAGACACAATGAATCAGTCGCGAGATGCTGGGGAGATGGAGTCAAAGCGGGAGAAAGGGTCAAAGGTGAAGAAGAAGGAGAAGAAGGAGAAGAAAGAGAAGAAAGAGAAGAAGCTGAAGAGCGGTGCGCTGAATGGTGGATCAGACGAAGCAGTGGAGAGCGTCGCGGCTGCAGAAGCGGGGAGACAGTCGCAGCCACCAGAGGAGAAGGGGAATAAGGGAGAGATGGAGGAGGGTATTCGAGAGAAGGGTGATCGGAAGAAAGGGTCAAAGCGGGTGAAGGGAGCGAAGCTTGAGAAGGAGTCAAATCGCAAGGGATGCGCTGAGGCTGCTGCCGCAGAGGAGCAGTCAAAGCAGAAAAAGGTGTCAAAGCGGGAGAGGGAGTCAAATCGGGGAAAGGAATCGGAACGGAAGAAGGCATTGAGTAGCGGCGGTAATGCAGATGAGTCAGCGACAGATGGTCAGGATACAGCAGCAGGTGCCAAGGAGGCAGCAGCGGAGGCAGAGTGTCGAGCTGAAGGGTCTAAGCGGGCGAAGAAGGGGTCAAAGCGGAAGAGATCTGCGAGTGGCGACGTGGACGCTAGCAGCGGCGGAGATGAGGCTGTGGCAGGGATGGAGGCTGCAGCAGAGGTGGAGCAGTCAATCGGAAAGGAGAAAAGGAAGAAGGCGAAGCGGGAAGGAGCCGTGCGTGATGGGTCTGCCAATGAGGCAGCTGATGGTGTTACGGTTGCAGCAGAAGCGGAGCAATCACCTGAGAAAAAGAAAAAGAAGAAGAAGCAGAAACTGGCTGTGCGTGAGGGGGCGAATGAGGCAGCTAATGAGGCAGCTGCAGGTGATAATACTGGAACAGAAGCGGAGGAATCACGTGTGAAGAGGAAGAAAAAGAAGTCGAAGCTGAAAGGAGCTGTGGATAACGGGGTTGTTAGTGAGGCAGTGACAGGTGCTGGTGTTTCAGCAGAGGAGTTGCAAGCACATGGGACGAAGGAAGAGACGAAGGAAACGAAGACGAAAGAAAAGAAAAAGTCAAAACGGAAACGGACTGATGAGGGTGTTGCCAGTGAGGCTGCTGCAGGTGATGATGCAGCAGCAGAAGCAGAGCAATCACGTGTGGGGAAGAAGAAGAAAAAGAAGAAGTCGAAGCGGGAACGAGCTGCTAGAGATGGGGTGAAGGAGGAAGAGAGAGGTGCTGAGTTTGCAGAGGAACTTCTTCAGGAGCATGATGCATCGTTACCAGGTGGTTCAGAGGTGGCAGCAGCAGAGGAAGGGTCTCAGGTGAAGGGGAGGAAAAGGGAATCAAAGCAAGAAAAGGGGTCAAAGCGGGAGAAGGCGAAACAGAAGAGAGGGGATAACGGTATCGAGGAAACCAGCAGCATCGGGAATGGTGCAGCGGCAACAGAAGGGGTTGGGGTTGCAGCAGCAGGGGAGCAGCCGAGAGCGAGCGGGTCAAAGCGGGAGAAGAAGGCAAAACGGAAGAGAGCTTTGGGTAGTGGCAGCAAGGAGAACGGTAGCAGGACTGATGGAGTGGCAGCGGTAGGGGTGGGGGTTGCTGTAGCAGAGGAAGAGCAACCGCGGGTGAAGGGATTGAAACGTAGACGGGTTTCAGTCCCTAGCGGTGAGGGTGAAGCAGCAAGGGTTGAATCAGCAGCAGGAGCTGAAGCAGCAGCAGCAGCAGCAGCAGGAGCAGCAGTAGGAGCAGCATCAACAGGAGCAGCAGCATTAGCAGCACCAGCTGCAGCACCAGCACCAGCAACAGCAGCTGCTGCTGCTGCTGCTGCTGCAGTTGAAGCAGAATCTGAAGTACTACAGATGCAGGTACCAGAAGCAACGCCGGGACAACCAGCAGCGGTGAAAGTAGAAGAGGTAGATGCAGCAGGGGCAGAAGGAGCAGCGGCACAACCAGTAGCACTAGGAACAGAACCAACAGCAGCTGGGGTAGAAGTAGCAGGGGCGGAACCAGCAAAGAAAAGTCAGGCACCCAAATCAAGGCCGAAGAAAAGAAGCGAAAAAACAAGTGGCGTTTCTGCAATCCCGGCTGATTTGCGCTCGCTCTTGGAGTCATGGGGCATGGACGAGCAGCAGATGTTTCGGGTACTCGTGCTGCGTCCCGGACTCGCGAAAGTAAGCGTAAAGGAACGAATCCTGCCGGGCAGCGCAGTGTTACGCGGTTACGGAGTCGAGACCTGCGATCTCGCCCACGCGACCCTCATTTATCCGTGGTGGCTCGGCGCCTTGTCTGCAGAGGGCATAGAAGAGGTTGTGCAATTTCTGCGGGATTTGGGGGTCACGGATGGGGAGCTCTTGGGGAAGCTGCTGCGGCGAAATCCCGCGATGTTTGCGACTGACTCGGAGAAATTTCAGGAAAGGAAGATTGGGATGCTCAAGGAGCTTGGCATCACGGACTTCGTCCGAACCATGAGAAGGGATTCGCGAGTGATGACTGCTCGTCCGGCAACTCTCACTGGGAAAGCGGATTATTTGAAGGAGTTGGTGGGAAATCATCATGCTCATAACATCGTAACGCGTAACACCACCCTCCTGGCAATCTCGAAGCAAGAGCTTACGTCCAGGGAAGGGCTGTTTGAGGAACTTTTTGGACGTGAGCTACCCCGGATGGTTATAGCCAAGTTACTCCGGAAAGTGGATAACTCTTCTGGCGAAACTCTGCGAGGGAAGTTTAAAGCCCTGTTCGACCTTCTCGGGGTAGAGCCAGCCCGAAAAGTTGTTTTGAAATATCCCAAGGTGTTGCATGCTTCGGAGGAGTCAATACGTGAGAATTTCCGTCGGTGGGGTTCTTTTTTAGCGGGCGAATATGATGCAGCGGATATGGTTCAGCGGTATCCGCTGCTGCTGTGTTCTAACTGGGAGAGCGGAATACAGCCTAAGCTGGACTTCCTGCAGAAAAATCTTGGTCTGTCTGCCGGAGCTATAGGTTCGGTGCCGTACCTGGTGACTCTCAGCCTTGAAGGCAGGTTGAGGCCGAGAGAGGAGGTGCTTAGAAAGGCTGGGTTGTCGATTGTCGAGTCGGCGGATGGTAAGGTCAACTGTGAGATGAAGGGTAAGGGGCTGGTGGCGCTGAATACTTTCTTTGGAATTGATTCGAACAGGTTTCGGACACTCCTTAGGAATTATGGTCTTCCAATGGATTGAAGGTGGATCTAGGAGTATGTGGAGTCGGGTTAGATGTTCCTTGAATATCTCAATGTTTGTTGAGGTGGTATGTAGTGCCTGGGATGATATGTAATCGAAGCCCATAGCGTGTCTTCATTATGGAAATCTTGACAACGAGGACACGTGATGAGACAAATGAAGACTGGCCAGCCACGCGAACACAGGGTTTCGACCCAGCTGGCACGTAAACCAGCGTGGAAATTCGATTGTATGACTAGGCACAATGTGGCATCATCAGCACTCGGTGACATCGACGTAGGCCACGAGAGCCCCAAAACCATCACCATGTTATCATTGGCTGATAAAGGTCCATGTCAGACAGCTTCGATCCACATCGATGTGGACTGAAGCAGGCCCATTGTCGAACCCAATGCTGACACTGCTCCATTCAACGTCAGCTCGGAAGTATCAGCACCTTCCTCCATTCAGCAGACAACGCAACGCAACTATACGAATTTCTTGAGAATCCCGTTTCTTGATTATCCCAGCCTGCCGAGCCGAGTATAAAGTAATCCCTGGTCCAGCTTCCTGATTATCGCATTTCTAGACATCCGCCGTCAGGTTCAGCCAAGCTTGCGTTGCTTTCTTCTTTGTGTCTTGATTCTTCGCTTGCTAATCCCTCAGCAATGGCTGCCACCTGCATGGCTACCCTCGCCCATCCGTCAGCTTCCCTTGTGAGGTCTTCAGCAAACGTTCAGGTGAGACCTCTTCCAGCATGTGCTGGACTAGGGCCTCTCCGGATAGTCTCCAAGAAGACTCGGATGGCGTCATTCGTGAAGGCAACTGAAGGCGCTCGGTCAAGGTCTCGCGTGGTGTGTGCCGTTGGTGACGTATCAGGAGACGCAACGACTTACCTGATTGCTGGAGCCGTGGCCATCACGCTTATCGGTACCGCCTTCCCCATCCTGTTCTCGCGAAAGGATCTCTGTCCAGAATGCGATGGAGCTGGTTTCATTCGGAACTCACGTGTCCTGAATGCGAATGCTGCGCGGAAGGACGACAACCGGATTGTGTGCCCGCGCTGCAAGGGTTTGGGAAAGCTCAACCAAACGGACAAGTAGAGTCTCTCTCGAAAGTTTCACAACTCTTTCCTGCCATGTCGTCAAACGCGCAAACATCAGACTGTCGACCATGTTCGATTCCCGCCCCGTGCTTTCTTCCCCAAGCTCTCGACGCAACTTCAGCTGACTTTGATGAGTTGATTTTGGACAAGATTGATGGCTCAATGATTACTTCTGAACATTTTGTACATGAATATTGGAAGGTTGTGATTTGCTATTTAAATTCGTATATTCCCCGTTCCATGAGTCTTACATCACTTCGCGTCCTGGTTTGAATGGTGCACTTTACCGTCCTATATCACGCTGATTTGCCAGTCTTACACAATCACTCATTACAGCAATCTAAAGAAATCGCAATCGATTGCCGGTTACGCATTGATGCAATCTAATGGAATCGTATTAGTGGGAAAAGGCAAAAACAGTTTTCGGCCACCAGAGTTCAGAAACTATTGCTCAGACGATCCTGACCTCAGATGTCTCTTTGGCCCCAACCAGGAAAGAATCTCTATGACGATTCTGCCCTCTCAGAAGCTCTTTGAAGTTAGTGACCCAGCCAGACAAGGACCTTATGGATTTGTGCGCCACAAAATACTGCACGGGACGCGATTGATTGACTGCAAGGCAACTTTAGGGAGTGCCTAGAGCAAGCCTGCTTCTTGTTTGAGAAACGGATGAGCTTGCATGAAATCACAACACACAGGGACGAGAGGCTCCTTTGTGCAATTTCGTAATTCGCAAAAGCTCTACTTACTGTACTAGTAACACTAAACCCCCTCAATCTGTCTCGGCATAGGTGATTCGTAAATGAACAACTTCATCATCTGGCCCAATTCGCCCCTGAAGCCCATGATGCTCGATCCAAGCTGGTCCAACTGATTGGGAAAGCAAGAGAACTGCACTGTAGGCTGCTTGTGCAAGCTGACGAGGGTCTCTTTCGAAGGTTCCCATTCATCCCCAGCAATTGGGATCACACCTGCGACTCCGCTTGGCAGTCCATCGCAGTTCCGAAACATCCGTCATTGCGTTGGTTGTGCTTGGAACCAACAGCGAAATCTGGGTTTTTTCGTGTGTGAGACGACATCTTTTTACAGGCTGCGAAACCTGAATATGCTTGACTGATGCTCTTCCCGTTACACAAATTCCGCTTGACCGACCTTCATTCTGTTACAGCACAAAGCCGGCAGTGGATTGGTTGGGGAGGGTGGCTCACAGAGGAACCTGATGGGATGGCCCCGCCCGAGACACATGCGGCTGTGCACAGACCAGAGCTGGTTCTTTTCCCAACAACCAGATTGTAACCATTCCTTCAAGTTCGCAATCACCTGATACACTCGTCGTTCAACCTCCCCCGGGCAGTCACCTCCCATATTCCCCGAGTGCGACATCAAGGCATAAAATTGTAACAAATTGCTCGCATCACTGTTGGCGTCCAACTTCGGTTGACTACATCTGCTCCAGTGAGGGGGAAGTGCCAGCTTTGATTTGATGACTACTAGGTCAGTTGTGTTCGACAGGAAGTCTTTGCTTCAAGTTTGTACATGTGTGGATGGAGCTCCTCCTAAATCACCCAAACATTTCCTTCCACGCACGAGTCTCTGCCTAGGATTTAGGATCAGAAATGGTAGTTGTTGCTACAAAGTTTAGCTGTTTGTTGTGAGACGCACATACACTTCGTAGTTCTAATAGCTTCCTGCCTTGAAGGGATTTCTTGGTTCCTGACCCTAATGCGCTTTAGTCGCATCGCTGCCTGTCGTAGAGGGGATTCTTGATGCCTGGCACTAATGCGCGTTCTTGAAGTAGTCGCAACGAAGCTAGTTCTCTGTTGTTGTTTAGAGTCACTATACCTTTAGAAGGAGGCGGTTGCAGGAAGCCACAGACACAAGGTGTCTGAGATATTATGGCTCCAGAAAGAAAAGGCTCTTTGAAGACATCAAGTGACGCATTTCAAGGTGAATAATCGAGTTCTTGCAGCTAGAACAACTTTCTTGACGAAACGCGGGCTTAGAGAAGGAGAACTAATATCTCGGAACCATTTCACCTGCAGGACTGTACAAAGGAGCTGATATTCTGTTGTTACGATATTTATTTCCAAAACCCGAAGACATTAGTTTGGAGGCTCTAATCCCGGTGAAAGAACGAGATTCTATACCTCGCCCGTCCTCGATAGCCGAGCTTGAATCATCAACAGATGCAAAAGCTTCGGCATCCAGGCGTACCCCCGTCCCTATGTTCAACTCCATATTCTCCGCTCTCCTTTATTGTTTCGTGGGACTCGCCATGGGTTTCATCAACAAGGTACGAGGCTTTCAGGCTCTTTACCAGTAGTAGGCGTCTGATCACAGTATCACGCTTCAGAAACAACCATCCATACCAGGATTCGAACTGAATGCGTTGATCGGTTGACATTGCAGGCTGTTTTGATGCAATGGCCGTATTCAAACTCTCTCCTCATGCTCCAAATGGCCGCATCTGTGCTGATCGTGTACTCCCTGGGCTGCGTTGGCCTGATTGAAGTCAAACCATTTGATTGGGGTTCGGCAAGATCGCTTTCCGGGGTCGTGTTCTTTTACAACGCGAACGTTGCCTTCGCATTGGCAGCTGTGGAAGCTCTGAGCATCCCTGTGTACCACGTGCTGAAGCGACTGACCCCTGTCATGGTCCTCTGCGCGAAATACTTGATTGGAGATGGCTCCCCACCCCTGGAGGTCTGCATGTCAGTGCTCGCCGTTGTCTCAGGTACTTGTGTTTCTTGTTTGTAGTTCTGGGACTTACAGGGCTCATGATCACAGGGCGCATGATCTCATATTTCCACTCTCTTTTTTACTAACGTGACATTATCGTCTCGCCAGGTTGCTTCCTTGCTGGAGCGGGTGACCTAAGTTTTGATGCGCGAGGATACCTATGGGCCATTGTGAGCTGCATGCTTCAAACAGCGTATTTAATCCTTGTTGAACGATCAGGCTCGCAAAAAGGTATGCATTGAGTGAGTCCTACATGTGAAGTTGACATGCCTTGAATCTGCCTTTCCAAGTCATTCCTAACTGAAGCACTTTATTTCAACGTTGGCTTTGCTTCCCCAGGTTTTACGACCAACGACCTGTTGGTTTACAATGGCGTCATGTCATTTCCTGTGCTCGCTGCCTTAACCCTAATTACAGGCGAAGCACAAAGATCCATCCCAAGACTGTTTGAGCTCTCGTATGGCTCAGATAGCCTAGGGTTTGCGATTCTTTTTGTGGTGTCTTTGGGGGTTGGGGTCCTGCTCAACTACTCTCTCTTCTTCTGTACAATTTCCAATTCCGCGCTCACCACCACAATCGTCGGAACTCTGCGAAGCGTCCTGGGCACGGTATGTACCCCTCATGATGAGCTGTGGAAGGAGACGCAAACGTGTGTGTTTATTCAGTGTCCTTCTCGGCACCGTTTTGTATCTGACCTGGTGTTCTGTTTCTTTTGCAGACGATTGGATTCTTTGTGCTTGGGGGTGTAAAGGCCACTCCACTTATTGTAGCCGGTTCTTCAGTCAACACAGTGGGTGGAGTGTGGTACACCTATGCCAAGTACAAGGCGAAGAATGCTCAACAAGCAGAAAGGGCTGAACAGGTGAAGGCCCACTCGAGCCCAAGAATGTCAGAAGACAAAGTATGAGCAGAGGACTATGTCAAGTGCTACGACAGCCACATGGACTCGTGAGAATAGCGGGATGGGATGCCAAACCATTTGTAACTACTCTGGGACTGCTCGATGCAGCTCTGTGTATATTCTTGGCAAGCAGACGCAGTAGAGATATTGCAGATCACCTGTATTGGCCATAATGACACAAGTCAAGGCCTACGAGTGATGTTCGCTTCGAAATTTCTGATGTTAGTTGACATGCAGATATGGTACAGGAGTGGTATACAATTTGGCAGCGCCTAAAATTTTATAAAGATTTCAGTACCGTCATTTCAACATAATGTGCCTTAGGATCGCAGCTTTGCCACAGGTGTGCATGAAACACACCAAGCTACCCAGCAAAAACTCCTCTTGCCCAATTCCCCTATGCTCATCTCTCCTCCTCCTTGGGTTGAGCCATTTCATACTTCAGAAGCAACTCATCAATCTCCTTTGCCCCAAACACACGGTACCTGCACACACTCACATTCAACTCAGACAAGGCACCGTCAGGACAATTACGAGAAGATAGAAAACCATACCCCCTCCCCCTCATGGTTCAGCCCTCCTCTCCACATCTAATAAACCTGTAGCCCCACTCATCCCCCCACACCTCAGGCAAACTCACCTGACTTGTCCATCCTCGAGGCACACTTCAGCCAGCTCAATCTTCTCCTGATGCCCCTCCCACCTGACCACCCTCAATTCCCCCTCATCCACATTCATCAGGCCATCTCACCTGACTTGGCCATCCTCGAGGCACACTTTAGCCAGTTCAATCTTCTCTGCACTCAGGCTCGTGCTGTCCATGGTCTTACTCAGCACCTTCAGCGCCAGCTGCACTGCTCCTTCCAGGTCCATCCCTGGAATCGCCTCCCCTCCCGGCCCCTTCTCCTCCTTGTACTCTTGCTTCAGCAGCGACTGTGCTGCACCGTGATTGGCTCCTATGGCACACGCCCGCCACCCGCCATAGTTCCCTGAGGGATCTGAGTGGTACAGCTGGAACTGATGATGCTTGTCCCACCCTGGAAGAAGGAAAGTTTTGAAAGGGAATATAACAAAGTCAGGGAGAATAATTCTTACAGCAAAGATGCACGAGAAGGCCACCTTCCAGACAAAGATGCACTCGGACCTTATTATTAAGCAGTTGAGCTGCACCTCGACTTAACAACTGCAGTGCAACTTATAACGAACCAATCAAACCCCACCTCACAGAAAGAGACACCGAGGAGGAGGCGCACCTGCAAAGAGGAAGGAGACGCCAAACGGACGCAGACCACCAAACTGCGTGTAGCCCTGCTTGGTGTCGCACAGGGACTGCACCAGCTGCTCCATGGGAATAGGCTCCTGCTCGCAGGAGGAGGAGGGGAGCCAAAGAGGAAGCAGAGGGGAATGGAACAAAAGAGAAACGTAGCCATGCTTGGTGTCGCAGAGAGACTGTACCAGCTGCTCCATGGGAATAGGCTCCTGCACGCGGGAGGAGGAGAGCCGAAAGGGGGCAGACGAGGAAGCAGAGGGAAGAACACAAGGGAATGAGAACTCAGAAGTAGCCCTGCTTGGTGTCGCACAGGGACTGCACCAGCTGCTCCATGGGAACAGGCTCCTGCATAAGCCAGGCGGAGGGCAGAAGGGTGGTGAAAGAGGATGGTTCAGATGTAGAAGTGCTGAATGTCGCACAGGAGTTGCAACAGCCGCTTTACCTGAATGGGCTTCTGCAGGAACCGGGAAGGGCGAATAGTAGGGAAGCGGTGGAGAGAGAACGAAAGAAAATGAGAGCTCGGTTGTTTGTGGGCCTACATGGTAATCTCTCCACTCATACGCGCGACAAACGCACCTGATAGGCGTATGTGTAGCGCTGGGCGGCCAGCCGAGCGGAATTGACGAGGATATTGGCGTCGGCGGTGATCCCAGCAACAGCAGCAGCGACGTGGTCATCAATTCGATACATCTTCTCGTTCGTCTTGCTGCTCTCCAGCAGCTTCGACGTGATGCGCTTCTCCGCTGCCAGCACCACGCCGTCCGTCGCCAGAATGCCTATGGCCGACCCCGCATGGCTGATGGCCTCCATTGCATACTCCACCTGGTGGGTGGGAAGCGGCGGGAAGGGGTGGGAAGGGGTGTGGAGCAGCTTCGACGTGATGCGCTTCTCCGCTGCCAGCACCACGCCGTCCGTCGCCAGAATGCCTATGGCGGACCCTGCGTGGCTGATGGCCTCCATCGCGTACTCCACCTGGTGGGAAGCGGTGGGAAGCGGTGGCAAGGGGTGGGAAGGGGTGGAAAGGGGTGGCAAGGGGTGGGAAGGGGTTGGGGGAGCGGGGGGGGGGGGGGGGGGGGGGGGGGGGGAAGAACCATGAGAATGCGTGAGAGAAGCGGAGTGAGGAAGAGAAGGTGGATAGAGGCGGGGAGGTACGGAGTGGGAAAGGAAAAGAGGGAGAGGAAACGCGAGAAGGAGGAGGGGGATCAGTGTTGCTGCCCTTGAGCAGCTTCGGCGTGATGCGCTTCTCCGCCGCCAGCACTACTCCGTCTGTTGCGGAAGAAATTCGACTCAAGTTGACTCAACCGCCGACTGAAACTAGTCTAAAAAGAACCACTTAGACTCACGGACATCGCACCAGGAACAATCTATGAGTTGGCTTAGGTAACTGAACCTGCTTTTTGAGAATTCTAAAAAAACAGAGTCGCACCAAGAACAACCTCTGGGTCGGCCCAGCAATCGCACACCCTGATCGCACTCAAACTCAAACTCGACTGACGGAGACCAATTACTAGGTGACTTTTGAGTCGACTCAAAAGTCACCTCGGAGACCACTTACTCTCACTATCATCGCACCAGGAACAACCTCTGGGTCGGCCTAGCAATCGCACACCCTGATCGCACCTGGAACAGCCGGCCTTCCGGCGAAAACGTCGTCGTGCGACTGTCATAGCGTCTCGACATGGCGACAAAGCCACTGATGCGACGACGAAAAGAGAAAAACAAAATCTACGACCCGGGCCTGGCAGAAGAGCTACGGTCGAAGCCTGATTTCCCTGGCTGGAATTTCGGCTCTGTTCCACCCGAGAATTACGACAGATGAACGAGCAAAGAGGCTACGGATAGATCTCCTATACAGGAGTAAGCGGATCCGTGGAAAAGCTACGGTTGAAAAATACCAATTTCTCAACGCGAGCCGAGGACCTCCTTGGACTGCAGTACTCGCTGGAAGTACAGAAACCGGAAAGGGAAGATCCCAAAACAAGCTCCGCCGGAATTCATACGCTTTATTCGCAGAGTCGACGCAACAACAGAGATCGAGAAGGAGCATCTATCCATAGAATGAGCGACATGAATATGTGCCATCAAGTTGGTTAATGTAATAAAGGCCCCTTTGAGACAAGAGCGGAATACCATTCTTTTAATCATATTGTTCTCCTGATGTCCTCTATGTTTTGAGACACCTGAATCATCAGTAAAGCCTTTAATAAATATACTAGTTCTAAAATAAATAAATGCAGACAATGCTAGTACCCTTCCAACCTCTTCTGAAGCACTCATCCATAAGTCCTAAGAGAATGTCTAAACTAGAAGTATTAGCCCTTTTCACAGATCGCCACCGCCCTCTCTTTGCAGCAGTCCTTTCACCTGCACTCTCTTCACCTCCCCTTCATGAATCCTTGTCCAACTCCCCGCCCCTCCCGCCGCCCGGGCAGCCTGAAGCTCTGCCAGCAAGGCCGAAGCCCTACTCCCTTGCTTCTCCCCTCCCACCATCCTCCTACTTCCCGCCCCCATGCCTTCCCCGAACTTGCGGTTTCCAAACCCACCATCTGGCATTATCGACCGAGGCTGAGCAAACCCAGCCGTTCCCGAGCCTAAGAACCCGCCGCCCCGGTAAGGAGACGCCATTCCCGCTCCGGCCATACCGCCGCCCGGCATTCCTCGTCTCATTGACCCATACTCTAACGATTTTCGCCGCCCGCTGATATTCCCCACATCCTCACCACCCATTCCCCAACCCCCACCAATCCCTCCTCCCATAGAAGGGAAATCCACCATTTTCCTTCTCATGCCCATATCCTCCGCCGCCCCTCTCGGCATGCTGCTGAAACTAGCCGGCCGGTGCCGCCCGCTCGTGTTCCCCACATCCTCGCCGCCCATCCGCCCCAACCCCCCACCAAGCTTAGCCACAGCATCAAGAATACTTGGCTCATCTCCTCCAAAGGACTTCATATGGGCCGTTCGGGCCCGCCTCTGCCTACCTGGGTTTCCAGAACTGCCCGGATTCCCAAACTCCCCTCCCATTCTGCCCGATGCTGCCCCATGCCCTGCCCACCCCGCCCCCATGCTATGAGACCCTACCGGACTCATCATCCCCCCATTCCCCATGATCCCCGTATACCCACTGGCGACACTCGCAATAGGACTCAGTCCACCTATCCCCTCCCCTCCCCCTCTCCCTCCCCCACCTCCCCCTCCCCCACCTCCCCCTCCTCCACCTCCCCCTCGCATACCATCACTGAAGCTCAACCCACCAGTAAGACCCGCCACGTGAGTGTGCTGCCTGCTGCCGGGTAGCAACGCGCTGTCTGTCCTCCTCCTGCTCATAAACCCAGGTATGATAGGACTCGGCAGGCTGTTGGTGTGGAGCGTGGGGGTGCGTGTGTGGGAGGTGGGAGCGAGCTGCTCAAAGGAGAGGCTTCCTTTCATGCCCGCAATAGATCGAGGAAATTGCCTGGTTATGGCGGTTAGGGTTGCCTCGCTTGCACTGGAGGAGTGAGTTATACCCTTGGTAGACCCACTGACAGCAGTATCAGCAGTGCCAGCAGCATCACCAGCAGCACCAGCACCAGCACCAGAACCAGAAGAGTCACCTGCAGCAGCACTGGCAGCAGCACCGCCAAAACCACCGCGATTGCTGCTCCCGCCGCCCCAACCGCGCAAAGCAGCAGCAGCAGAAACATCAGCATCATCATCATCACCATCATCATCATCCTCAAACCGCCTCCTGACCCTACTCCACTGCCGGTCCCCCCTCGCCAACCCCAACTCTGGCCGCCTCTCCTTCCCAGACCCTCTTAGCAGCATCAGCTGCTGCTGCTGCTGCATCTCCTCCTGCTCCTGCCTCATTTTCTCCAACGACTCTTGCACCTGCAGCAGCACGTATGCAGTCTCATCCGCATTCTCCTCTAATCGCTGTAGGGATCGTTTGATGTGAGACATTTCCCCACTCTTGCCCTTCTTGGGCTTTTCTCCTAGGAGTGCAACCTCCACGTCCTCCCCGAATTGCCCCATCACTGATTCGGCTATGGTTACCGGGTCGACCTGATGGGCCTTGCTGGCTGCCTTGGTGGGACTCATCGAGGCCATCTGTGGAGGAGGAGGGGAGAGGAGGGAGGGAGGAAACGGACAAGTTGTCAGGAGAATGGGTTTGTTAGACGGTTGGCTTGATGAGACTGGCTTGCCTTGGTGGGACTCATAGGGGCCATCTGCGGGGGGAGAGGGGAAGAATGGGAGAGGGGAGGAGAGAGGGAGGAGAGGAGAGGGGGGAGAGGAGGAGAGGGGGAAGAGGTGTATTGGGATTGAGTTGGTGCCTGGGTGCAACGCATCTCCCTCCAGCCTCTGTAGAGACCGCTTGATGTGAGACATCTCCCCACTCTTGCCCTTCTTGGGCTTCTCTCCTAAGAGTGCTACCTCCACGTCCTCCCCGAACTGCCCCATGACTGATTCGGCTATGGTGACCGGGTCGACCGACCTGATGGGATTTGCTGGCCTTGGAACGGCTCATAAAGGCCATCTGAAGGGGGAGACGGTGGGAGGGAAGGGGAGGGGATATGCTGGCCTTGGAACGGTTCATAAGTGAATAGAGCGTCCTCAGATGGCCTCTATAGGCATTGAGCATCACCCAACGCCATCTCCCCCTTCAGATGACCTCTATAGGCATTGAGCATCACCCAACGCCATCTCCCCCTTCAGATGACCTCTATGAGCATTGAGCGTCACCCAACGAGTGTCCATGCATCGACGCCCACAAGCCAGCAGCAGACCTTTTCAGATGCCAGCAAACCCCAGTCAACTCAACCCCAGTGTACCGCACTCAACCCAAGCTCATCTTGTGATCATACGTGCAGTTCATGAGGGTATAGAGCGACGTCATGTCCGTCTTGTTATTGCCCACATCAATCACCCTCGTCTGGTGGAACACTGGTGCAATATAGTACCTTCTTAGTCTAAACAACCAAATCGAACCGAGCCAAACACCACAACAACCCAAGCCAACCGCATTTAACCGCAATCAACAGACCTTTCGCTCGTATGTGCGGTTCATGAGGGCATAGAGCGACATAATCCCCACGTCCACCACCCTCTTCGTCAGGTGAATCAGCAGCAGACTGGTCAATTGCACTCAACCGCACTCAACCGCACTCAACCACACTCAACTCAAGCTCACCTTGCGTTCTTAGGTGCGGTTCATAAGAGCGTAAAGAGACATTATGTCCATCTTGTCAATTCCCACGTCCACCACCCTCTTTGTCTGGTGTATCAGCAGCAGACTGGTCAATTGCATTTAACCGCACTTAACCGCACTCAACCGCACTCAACCGCACTCAACAGCACTCAACCGCAATCAACCACACTCAACACAAGCTCACCTTGCGTTCGTAAGTGCGGTTCATAAGAGCGTAAAGAGACATTATGTCCATCTTGTCAATTCCCACGTCCACCACCCTCTTTGTCTGGTGTATCAGCAGCAGACTGGTCAATTGCATTTAACCGCACTTAACCGCACTCAACCGCACTCAACCGCACTCAACAGCACTCAACCGCAATCAACCACACTCAACACAAGCTCACCTTGCGTTCGTAGGTGCGGTTCATAAGAGCGTAAAGAGACATTATGTCCATCTTGTCAATTCCCACGTCCACCACCCTCTTTGTCTGGTGAATCAGCAGCAGACTGGTCAATTGCATTTAACCGCACTTAACCGCACTCAACCGCACTCAACCGCACTCAACAGCACTCAACCGCAATCAACCACACTCAACACAAGCTCACCTTGCGTTCGTAGGTGCGGTTCATAAGAGCGTAAAGAGACATTATGTCCATCTTGTCAATTCCCACGTCCACCACCCTCTTTGTCTGGTGGATCCGCCGCAGTGTCTCACGCTCCTGCTTGGACATGAAGCACCCCTTTCGCACCATCCCCGCCACCTCTGCGAGTGCTGACTTGCGCTGCGTTGCTAGTGCCTCCTCCTGCAGTATATGCAAGTGGGGGAGGGGGCAAAGGGAGGGAAGGGGAGGGCATGGGTGGGGATTGCATTGCAGCGGCATCAGGAGTGCTCTTTGCAGTGTCTCACACTCCTGCTGAGACATGAAGCACCTCTTTCGAGTCATTCCCGCCACCTCTGCAAGTGCCAACTTGCGCTGCGTTGCTAGTGCCTCCTCCTGTGTTGAAAGCAGCAGGAGGTGCAGGAAGAGGGGTAAGGGAGAGAATGGTTGGGGCATGGATTGGGCATCGGTGGGGCATGGGGCAGGGATTGCAGCATGGGAAGTGGCAGCCTCAGTGTCTCACGCTCCTGCTTAGACATGACACACCCCTTTCGAATCTTCCCAACCACCAGCTCCCATCCCAACCTATCAGCTCCTCTCGAGTCTTCTCACCTCTTCTCGAGTCTTCTCACCTCCTCTCGGGTCTTCTCACCTCCTCTCGGGTCTTCTCACCTCCTCTCGGGTCTTCTCACCTCCTCTCGGGTCTTCTCACCTCCTCTCGGGTCTTCTCACCTCCTCTCGGGTCTCCTCACCTCCTCTCGGGTCTCCTCACCTCCTCTCGGGTCTCCTCACCTCCTCTCGGGTCTCCTCACCTCGTCTCGGGTCTCCTCACCTCCTCTCGGGTCTCCTCACCTCCTCTCGGGTCTCCTCACCTCCTCTCGGGTCTCCTCACCTCCTCTCGGGTCTCCTCACCTCCTCTCGGGTCTCCTCACCTCCTCTCGGGTCTCCTCACCTCCTCTCGGGTCTCCTCACCTCCTCTCGGGTCTCCTCACCTCCTCTCGGGTCTCCTCACCTCCTCTCGGATCTCCTCACCTCCTCTCGGGTCTCCTCACCTCCTCTCGGGTCTCCTCACCTCCTCTCGGGTCTCCTCACCTCCTCTCGGGTCTCCTCACCTCCTCTCGGGTCTCCTCACCTCCTCTCGGGTCTCCTCACCTCCTCTCGGGTCTCCTCACCTCCTCTCGGGTCTCCTCACCTCCTCTCGGGTCTTCTCGTGCGTTCCCAGGAACAGCAGGTGGTGCCTCAGCTTCCTCAGACTCCAGTACGGCGTGCATATCCGCTGCCAGAGGTTCCGCAGCAGAATCCAGATATCAATCGGCAGTGCCGTCTCCTCCTGAGCCGCCTCCTTAACATCCATGAACGCATCGACCACTATAGCAATCACGACATTCATCAGAATAAACACCATGATGACAATAAACGACAGCCAGAAGACAAACGCCGCCAACCGCTCCCAACCCTCCAGCATCGCGTAGTAATACGCGGTGGAGTTGTCTTGAATGAGCATGAAGAAGCAGGAGAGCATGGCGTTGGGGATGGTGCGGAACTGCGCGAGCGTTCGGCCGAAGACGAGGTAGCCATAGAAGGAGAATCCGAGGAAGATGATTCCGAAGACGAGGAAGAAGTGCAGGATGGCCGGCAGCGCTGCTGCCATGGTGCGCGTGATTATGCCGATGCGGGGTTGGAAGTCCATCAGCTTGAGCAGGCGCTGCACCATTAGGAACACACTGGAGAGGGGGGGCCCGTGGGGAGTGGGGAGTATGGAGAGAGTGAGACTGGGCAGGGAGGAGGGGACTGGGGAGGAGGATGACGTGTGGCGCACATGGTGCACATGGCACACATGGTGCACATGGCACACACATGCCTTGAAAAGCAAAGCTGAATGATGTCATCCATGGTGCACCTGCATCGCCCTCTCAAAGCCGCCATTCACCGCTCGGAACCGCAAAGAACCGCACCGCACCTCCCTTTCTCACCTGCCCTGTGTGTGTGTGTGGTTTTTAGTGGGGCGACTTACTTGATTCCTTGGATGGCAAAGTAGAAGGAGCGCAGTTGAATGATGTCATCCATGGTGCGATACACCTGCATCGCCCTCTCAAAGCCGCCAGATGCCGCACTGCACTTACCACCCAGAACCGCACTGCACCTCGCTCACCTGCCTTGAATGTGGCCTTGAATGTGGAGACTTACTTGATTCCTTGGATAGCAAAGTAGAAGGAGCGCAGCTGAATGATGTCATCCATGGTGCGATACACCTGCATCGCCCTCTCAAAGCACCATGATGCCGCACCGGATTCGCCACACAAAACCGCACTGCACCGCTCTCACCTGACCTGTGTGTGGTGTTGGGTGTGTGTGTCGTGACTCACTTGATTCCTTGGATAGCAAAGTAGAAGGAGCGCAGCTGAATGCTGTCATCCATGGTGCGATACACCTGCATCGCCCTCTCAAAGCCGCCATTCGTTGTGTTGACCGCCCAGAATTGCGATGTCGTGTCGTCGAGGGATGTGTACACGTTGTAGCGCACGCTGATGTCGGAGAGAGGCGAGAGCTGCTGCACCATGATGATCCTGAGAGGAGAAAAGGGAAGAAGGGGAGATGGGGGTGTGTCTGTGAGGGTGACAGCGACAGAGTGAGGGAGGTGTGCACGTTGTAGCGCACGCTGATGCCAGAGAGGGGCGAGAGCTGCTGTACCATGATGATCCTGATAGGTGGTGAGGATGGCAGATGAAGAGTAGAGGGGAGAGGATGGGGGAGGAAGGGGTTGTGTTGATGGCCCAGAACTGGGCTGTCGTGTTGTCGAGGGACGTGTGCACGTTGTAGCGCACGCTGATGCCAGAGAGGGGCGAGAGCTGCTGTACCATGATGATCCTGAGAGGAAGGAAGGGAAGAGGGAGAAGGGGATGTTTATGAGAGGCTGACAGAGAAAGAGCAAGAGAGGTGTACACTTTGTAGCGCACGCTGATGATTGGTACTAAGCGTAAGTGCGTTACTTAACCTAATGATTGGTACTAATGTAAGTGCGTTACTTAACCTTATGCTTTGTAATAAATGTAAATGCATTACTTATTAACCTTATGACCGGTACTAACTGTAAGTGCGTCACTTAAGTTATGATTTGTAGTATGTATACGTGCATTACTTAACCTTATGACTGGTACTAAGAGTAAGTAAGTGCGTCACTTAACTATTATGATTACTACTTTGTAAAATTACACTACTTAACATTATGTCTAGTCTCAAGCGTATGAGCGTTACTTAACGTTATGATTTGGTAGCAAGAATAACTGCGTTACCAAACCTTATGATTCATACAAAGTGCTTGTGCGTTACTTAACCTTATCATTGGTACTAAGTGTATGTGTGTTACTTATCCTTATCATTTGTACCAAGTGTAAGTGCGCTACTTAAAACATATTATTAGTACTAAATACAAGTGTGCTTCTTACCATTATGATTGGTACGAAGTACATCTGCGCTACTTATCTTTATGGCTGGTAGTAAATATAGGTGAGTTACTTAACCTTATGAATGGTACTAAGTGTAAGTGTGTTACTCAATCGTCTGATTGATATAAAGTGGTGAAAGAAGTCGCCCGTGTAGCGGCACGCCTGGGCTGGGTCATCTCGTTCCGTTCACCTCCTCCAACAGGTTGTAGACACACATTACCGCACATCACCCACTCTCCAATCCAAGCAGCACCGCACTGCACCACAAACAAACACTCACCAGAAGACGATGCCCCAGACCTGGATGGAGAGCGAGAGCAGGTCAATCCAGTTGCTAGACTGGCAAAAGTGATGCAAGAAGCTGCACGAGTGGGGCTAGGTCCGGAACATCTCATTCACCTCCTCGAGCAGGTTGTAGGCCACACAGCACCGCATAGCACCGCATAGCACCACAAAGCAACACAGAGCAGGAGAGCAGGCACGCACCAAATAACGATGCCCCAGATTTGAATGGAGAGCGAGAGCAGGTCGATTTAATTGCCAAACTGGCGGAAGTGGTGAAAAAAACTCCCCGAGTGGCGGTATGTCTGGAACATCTCGTTGACCTCCTCCAGCAGGTTGTACGCCACACAGAACCGCACAGCACCCACTCTCCACTCCACACAGCACCGCACAGAACCCCAAAAAACGGCACAGAACCGCACTGCAGGGCACAGCAGGGAAGGACTCACCAGACAACAATACCCCAGACTTGAATGGAGAGCGAGAGCAGGTCAATCCAGTTGCCAAACTGGCGAAAATGATGGAGGAAGCTGCCCGAGTGGCGATAAGTTTGGAACATCTCGTTGACCTCCTCCAGCAGGTTGTATGCGACACACACCACGTAGATGATCTCGAGGACCATCTGAGCGTAGGAGGACGCGGACGAGTAGGGCTCCACTGGGATTGGCACCAGCCGGTAGGAGTAACCCAGCTTGCCCCCAACGTCCACCTCTATGTGGATCTGATTATCAGGAAGGGATACGGGACAAGGAGGGAACAGAAAAAGGTCAGGGAACAAGAGACAGAGGTTTCAGGGAAGAGGGGGGATGTAGTGAACCCTCCCCCCCTCCACCCAGGCCACGCACACCACGTAGATGATCTCGAGGACCATCTGAGCGTAGGAGGACGCGGATGAGTACGGCTCCACTGGGATTGGCACGAGGCGGTAGGAGTAGCCTAGTTTCCCTCCCACGTCCACCTCTATGCGGATCTGATCAGCGAGACGGGGAACGGGACGAGGAGGGGAAGGGAGGGGGCAGGGTGGTCTGAGTTTGGATTCCTAATTGTGGAATCTTGTTGACCTCCTCCAGCAGGTTGTAGGCGACGCACACCACGTAGATGATCTCGAGGACCATCTGAGCGTAGGAGGATGCGGACGAGTATGGCTCCACTGGGATTGGCACCAGCCGGTACGAGTAACCCAGCTAGCCCCCAACATCCACTTCTATACGGATCTGCCAGGGGAGGGGTACGGGACAAGGAGGGGAAGGGGACACGGAGGGAACAGCGAAAGTTAGTGAACGAGAGACAGGTTGTAGGCGACGCACACCACGTAGATGATCTCAAGCACCATCTGAGCGTAGGAGGACGCCGACGAGTACGGTTTCACTGGGATTGGCACTAGCCGGTACGAGTAACCCAGCTTGCCCCCAACATCCACCTCCATGCGGATCTGGGAGAGAAAGAGGAGAAGGAGAGGGGAAAAAAGGACGAATATGGAATGAATTGGAAGTTTCTTTGGCTATATTCCATAAAATGTATAAGGCAAGCACATGGATACACACATCAGCAAACAAAGGAATGTACATTTAACGGGTCAACTAGAACCTTTGTTCCCTTATGCTTCTTTTGAACCACAGCAGAGTATTGAACTCCAAGAGTGGGGTAAGAGTTTAGGTACTATACTATACGATCAGTTGCATCCACCTGCTCCTCGGTGGGATTCTGCCCCACCCTAGCCAACTGCCCCACAACAAATGCGACGCCAGGCCGAGTGTGCACTGCTGCATAGAGCAAGCTCCCCACCACAGATTGAAAACGAGCTTGTTCTCTCTGGTCCACCCCTTCGTTCTCACCAGCCTTGACGAGCTTGAATTCGGTTCGGATGGGAGGGGTGTTACAAAACCTTCATCACGACTTCAGTCTTATACTTTTTTTCCATGTTCTTGATGTACTTCTCCTGATGCAGCTTCACCCATCCATTACTGACATCCCTCTCGATGTGCATGCCCAAACATCAGTTTTGCCTCCTTCAGGGTCTTGCACTTTCGACGCACCTTGGAGAACACACACACACATGTTGACATCCGCGTTATAGACTTTGCGAGGTTGAATTTTGGGCTGCCTCAAAAGCCAACCAGCGTGAGTGACGCACCTTGGAGAGGACAAACATGTTGACATCCGCGTTATAAGTGATGAGCGCAAACTCAATGGACTTGGTGAGGTTGTCGAAATAGAATCCGTCCACCAGGTACTGCAGTCGCTTGGTGGCCGCCACTCGGTGCAGATTGATGTCGAATATCAGCGGATAGGACTCAAGCCCGTCCTGGAAGGACGGATTGGGGTGGGGGGAGGAGGGTGTGGGGAGCGGGTTTAGGGAGTGGGGGAAAACACAGTGCTGCATGTGCAAAGGCGCTTGGTGGCGGCCACTCGGTGCAGATTCATAACGATAATGAGCCGACAGGACTCACTCACGGCCGTCCTGGGGTGAGGGATTGATATGGACGGTGGAAAAGAGAGTGAGCGAGGGAGGCAATGGGAAGGAGGAGGGGAAAGGAAAAACGGGGGAGAGTGGAGGGGCAGGAGGAATGGGGTGCATGGGTGGGGAAGGGAGGGGATTTGACCCGACCTTTACCCAACCTTGACCTACCACCAACTCACCATGGGGGGAACGAAGCCATAAGGGAGCCCTAGCAAACTTTTTTACAAGTTGAATCAGTCGCAGCCACGTAAAGACATGGCTCCTATCTGGGGCTCCTATCTGGGGCTCCTATCTGGGGCTCCTATCTGGGGCTCCTATCTGGGGCTCCTATCTGGGGCTCCATTGGACTCACCATGGGGGGAACGAAGCCATAAGGGAGCCCTTGGTCGTTGAAGAGAGGAGCAGCGCTGAGGGTGGAGTTCTCAAGGCCCGTCTGATTGGCGGCGGCCACGATGGGGTCGTAGAGGTCGGAGGTGGAGAGGAAGCGCGGGTTGATGCCGAAGGACGTGAGGCTGGTGGCGTTTGTCAGGCAGTGCGGCCAGATGCTTGCGAACCTGGGAAGGGAGTGGGGAGGGCAGAGCAGAGGGGAGAGGAGTATGGTCAGCATATGGGCACAGAGCGGTGCAGTGTGATACTGCGTGACACAGGAGGAAACGATGGGGTCGTAAAGGTCAGAGGTGGAGAGGAAGCGCGGGTTGATGCCGAAGGAGATCAGGCTGGTGGCGTTTGTGAGGCAATTCAGCCAGATGTTTGCAAACCTGGGAGTAAAGGGAAGAGGGGAGAGGGAAGAGGGGAGGTGTAACACATGAGAACAGAGCGGTGAGATGCGGTGCAGTGCATGTGGTACAGAGAGCATCATAAAACCTGATGCGGAAGGAGGTGAGGCTGGCAACGTGTGACAGGTCAAACTGTGTGGTTAGATGCTTGCAGACCTGGAGGGGTCCAGAAGAGTTGACAAGGAGAACAGAATGTCACAATGTGGTTCCGTGTGTAGCATTTCTTGGATTGGCATTTACTGCGCTACCCATGTGTGGCACTTCTTAATTTGGCATTTACTGCGCTACCCATGTGTGGCACTTCTTAATTTGGCATTTACTGCGCTACCCGTGTGCGGCACTTACTTCTTGGATTGGCACTCGCGGGAGCCCCAGCGGGTCTGTAGCACATAAAGGCCCACTAGCAACCTGCATTGGGAAAGAGGGAGTAAGAATGGGTGAGTGAGAGTGGGTGGGGTTGGGGAAACTTGCAGGAGCCCCAGCGGGTCTGAAGCACATAAGAGGCCCACTAGCAACCCACATCGGGGGTGAAAGGGATATTGCTCGGATGCGCGGCCGGCCGGAACAAGTGCAGCTGGAGGAAAGGAAACAGCAGGTTCACCAGAGACCGCTTTTGAGTCGACTCAAAGCGAGCGTAGCTGGAGGAGCGGAAACAGCAGGTTCACCAGAGACCGCTTTTGAGTCGACTCAAAGCGAGCGCAGCTGGAGGAGCGGAAACAGCAGGTTCACCAGAGACCGCTTTTGAGTCGACTCAAAGCGAGCGCAGCTGGAGGAGCGGAAGCAGCAGGTTCACCAGAGCCTGCGCCGAATGCTAAAACAGAACCCGCCGACCCCGTCGTTTCTTTCCTCGCTCCCTCCCAATCCTCAACCCTCCCCACCCCACCCCTCCCTCCCTCTCTCCCACCAACATAAATTTTCAACTTACCTGTTCCTCTCGGTCACATGTCGGTGCAGCGGCTTCTCATAGAGCTCTGAAAACTGCGTGTTGCTCGCATGCGTATCAACCCACCAATTCCCCTCCCTTGTCCCGTCTCTTTTGCACGCACTTGTTCCTCTCAGTCACATGCCGGTGCAGCGGCTTCTCATACAGCTCCTAGAACTGCGTGTTGTTGGCATGTGCGTCCGGCCCGAACGAGCGCAGCTGGAATGGGAACAGCAGGTTCGTACCCACAGCATCGGTGGGACAACATGAGCCTGCCTCCGACCTGGTCTGCCCTGCAGGGCACGGACACTCCCCCCCCACTCCCCCACTACCCCACTACCCCTTGTCTTCCCCATCCTCCCGGCCGGCCCCAGACATAATTTCTCAACCCACCTGTTCCGCTCGGTCACATGCCGGTGCAGCGGCTTTTCATAGAGCTCTGAAAACTGCGTGTTGCTCACATGCGTATCAACCCACCAATTCCCCTCCCTTGTCCCGTCTCTTTTGCACGAACCTGTTCCTCTCAGTCACATGCCGGTGCAGCGGCTTCTCATACAGCTCCTAGAACTGCGTGTTGTTGGCATGTGCGTCCGGCCCGAACGAGCGCAGCTGGAACGGGAATAGCAGGTTCGTACCCACAGCATCGGTGGGGCAACACGAACCTGCCTCCGACCTGGTCTGCTCTGCAGGGCACGGACACTCCCCCCCCACTCCCCCACCAACCCTTCCACTTCCCCATCCTCCCCGCCCCAGACATAACTTCCCAACCCACCTGTTCCTCTCAGTCACGTGTCGGTGCAGCGGCTTCTCATAAAGCTCTGAGAACTGTGTGTTGCTCGCATGCGCGTCCGGCCCGAACGAGCGCAGCTGGAATGGGAACAGCAGGTTCGTACCCACAGCATCGGTGGGACAGCACGAGCCTGCCTCCGACCTGGTCTGCCCTGCAGGGCACGGACACTCCCCCCCCACTCCCCCCCCGCTGCCAGCTAGAGTGGCGCACTCGCAGTCGCCCCCGTCGAAGGCGCAGTGGTGGTTGTTGCAGAGGGGGTCGCAGCGACCGTCGGCTAGGTTGCCGAAGGAACAGCCGGGGTAGCAGGAGGAGGTGAGCGGGGAGAGAAGCGGGGTTCCGGGGTTGGTGGTAGTGTTTGCATCAAAGAACGGGTCGAGGAGGAAAGCTGGGGGACAGGGGAAGGGGGAGGAAGGACAGAAAGGCTTGTTGAGACCGCGCATCCCAGAGTGGCGCACTCGCAGTGCAGTCCCCGCCGTCGAACGCGCAGTGGTGGTTGTTGCAGAGGGGGTCGCAGTGGCCGTCGGCTAGATTGCCAAAGGAGCAGCCAGGGTAGCAGGAGGAGGTGAGTGGAGAGATTGGTGGGGTTGTGGTGTTGTTGGTGGTGTTGGTGGTGGCATCAAAGAATGGGTCGAGGAGAAATGCTGGGGGGGGGGGGGGGGGGAGGAAGGGGCAGGGGAGGAAGTAAGGTGAGAGAAGAGAAGTGGGGTTTCATGGAAGGTTGGCTGTGGCGTTGGTGGTGTTGGTGTTGGCATCGAAGAACGGGTCGACGAGAAAAGCTGGGAGATAGGGGCAGGGGGGGGAGGACAGAGGGGCTAGTACAACCTCTCGTCAGGGCAGTTGTGTCAGTACGCACATGGTACTCGCTACAAACAAGTCTTATTATAACACAGCATAACATAAGTTTGTATAAGCAAGTGGTACTTTTTATCTGCAAACGGTGCTTTATATCAGCAACACATCCACGGGTCACTCGCACCAACAGCTGCATACTCACTAGAGTCATCCTCGCTATCATCCACAACATGTATTGTCGCAGTCATATCGGCCCCAAACCGCCCGCACTCCACTTTGTAGGAGCCAGTTTGTGTGAAGACAGCCGTGTAGGTGAACGCAGGAGCATCCGAGGGGCCATCTGTTACGAAAGGGGAGATAGTGGGGAGATGGGAGGGAGAGGAAAAGGGAGTAAGGGAGTGTTACAGGCCTCTAGGCACTTACTAATCGCCCGCACTCCACTTTGTAGTAGCCCGTTTGGGTGAAGACAGGCGTGTAGGTGAATGCAAGAGTGTCTGTCAGCCCATTTGTTACAGAGGGGAGGAGAGGAGGAGAGAGTGAGAGAGTGAGGGGGTTTTAGGGTAACAGGGTAACAGGCTCTCTAGACATGCATCACTTGCACTCCACCACTTTGAAAGAGCCGGTTCGGGTGAAGGCTACAAAAAAGGCGAATTCTGGAAGGTTCTGACAGTCAAGAACTCACAGAGAGCACACGAGTGTGGCAGGCCGTCAAGAGGTATGGTGCCCACTGCCCATGCTGTCTGGAGCGCAGCGGCTGCGCCTTGAGAGCACCATGCGGTTGGCTTGGCACAGCACATAAGACAGACACAGTTCTATCTAAGGGCACAGGGAAAGCACATGCGTGTCTTGATGCACAACTAAACTCACAGAGAGCACACGGGTGCGGCGGGCCGTCAAGCGGCATGGTGCCCACGTTGTCAGGCGCGCACCGGCTGTGCCTCGATAGCACCATGCGGTTGGCGCCATAGCCCTTGAAGAGACTGTCGTGCGCACTGCTGCCCAGCCCACGCACTGAAAGGACAAAGGAAGGGGTGAGCAGGGAAGGGAACGGGCAAATGACCATACGTGCAATACCATTGAGACTGGAGGAGTGACAAAAAAAAAAAAAAAAAAAAACGTTGGAAATTCGGCAAAGCATAAGAGGTGAGGAATGTACAGGTGGAAGGCTTATATGCGAAGCAATTAGGGGGCTTATAAGTGTGGTACTGGAGGGACTAACCATTAACAGAGTGAGGATAGTCGTCAGCCCACACAAACTGCACACTGTCGCCCCTCCCTACTGCCTTGAGAGGCCTCATACGGTATGAGTCATACCTCAGCCTTAACGGACCAGGGCACAGTGTCACCCTCTCATAACTCAACCTTAACGGAGCACACTGTCCGGGGCACAGTGTCACCCTCTCAACACTCACCTTTAACGGAGTGAGGGTAGTCGTCAGCCCACACAAACTGCACACTGTCGCCCCTCCCTACTGTCACGTTGAAATCCGCCCCCACTGCCCACTCCAGCAAGCGCCCATCTGCATCGGGCAAGTTGAACAAAAGGGAAGGGAAGCGGAGTTGGGAAGAGCCAACACAGCACACCATCACAAACTGCCACCGTCACCATTGTCACCACCATCACAGAAGAGTCGACAAGTGAAGTGAAGAAAGGGCAGTCTTGAAACACTCTCGCGCGGGCTGCAGCCCTCCGTGCTGACGTAGAGGTGCGAGGAGAGGCGAGACAGCGCTGCCCCATAGAGGTGCGAGGAGAGGCGAGACAGCGCTGCCCCATAGAGGTGCGAGGAGAGGCGAGACAGCGCTGCCCCATTTTGAGACGTCTCAAAAGCCGTGCTGACGGAGAGGTGCGAGGAGAGGCGAGACAGCGCTGCCCCATCCACCACCACTATCGACTCCACCATTTTAGCAAAGCAAGGCGCATCAACGTGAAAAGAGAGCGACACTCACGCAGGCTGCAGCCCTCCATCGACAAGGCCAATCGCTGCAACATAGAGGTGCGAGGAGAGGCGAGACAACGTCACCCCATCCACCACCACCACTATCGACTCCACCATTTTAGATTGAGATGACAAGTGAAAAGAGAGTAACACTCACGCAGGCTGCAGCCCTCCGTGCTCCCGTCCACAAGGCCAATGGCAGCAACGTAGAAGTGTGAGGAGAGGCGCGACACAGTTGCCCCATCCAGAACCACCACCGACTCGACAGCATCCAGGAAGGTTCCTATGAACCGCGCAAACTGATCCCGGGACATGCGCAGTCGCCTGGAGAGCAGATCAGGGGCACTGACGGAAGAAGCGGTTTCATTAGAAGCAGTCCCATTAGAAGCAGCTCCGTTAGAAGCAGTCCCATTGGTGTTAGTGGTGTTGAAAGCAGGAGGAGGAGCAGGAGGGAAGCCGTGAAAGGCGAAGTGAGCAGCAGCAGCAGCCATGGATCCATCCACAGAGGTGAACGGGCCGAGCACACATCCGTTCCCTCCCACTGCTGCCACGTCAAATGAACCACCTCCAATCACATCGCTGCTGCTGAACAAACTGCTGCCAAGCAGGGAACCATCAGAAGCACCAGAAGCTCCAGCAGCAACACCTTGCCCACCCTGCGCTTCCCCCGGGCTGTGCAGCAGAGCACAGAACAAGGCAGAAACACGAGCACGGGTGGCAGCATCGAGAGACACGGCAGAGAAGACGTTTGCAAGGCAGGCGTCCCCCACCCAGGAGAAGAGCGCGCGGCTGACAGCCACTCGCAGGTTGAACCACCGCTGCCGCTCCGTGGGGCCTAGAGCTGCCCACGCGTCTGTGATTGCCTGTGCGCCTGTGATTGCCTGTGTGTTCGCCTGTGATACTGCTTGTGCACCTGTGACTGTCTGTGCGCCTCCCTGTGAGATTGCTTGTGTGTCTGTGATCGCCTGTGCGACTAACTGTGCAGTGTTATCAGAAGTGGAGGTAGGGGTGGTGGTATCCGCAGCAGCAGCAGCTGCTGCTGCCGATGCTGCCGCCGCTGCTGCTGCTGCTGCTGCTGTTGCCGTCGGTGCTAGTGGGCTGGGCGCTGGCACTGCTGGTGTATTGGAAGGGTTTGGAGAGAGGAAACGAAGAGGGAGGAAGAGGGGTGGGGGCGGAGAGAACGGGTGGAGTGAAGGGTTGGATGCTGGCACTGCTGATGAACGGGAGCATATGTATGGAGGGACATGACTGAGGGAAATGATGGAAGAGTAGACACAATGCAGCTTGCAGGAGGACAAGCGGAAATTCAGGTGGAAACTCAGGTGGGAAACCAGGTGGAAAATCAGGTGGAAATTCAGGTAGAAACTCAGGTGGAGATTCGGGTGGAAACTGACCAGCATTCAAGGCTCTATGGCTCATAAATCCGCCGATTCTTCCAATACTCTCCATTCGGCCTCCCATGCTTCGCACACTCTCCACGCTCTCTACGTGTCCAATGCTGCCTGCGCTGCTACTGCTGTCGGTCCACACACTAAAGCCGCTATCTGCTCCTTCCTCTGCTTCCCCAGCTTCCCCTTCTTGCTCTTCCTCCTCTGCCTCCTCTTCCCCCACTCGTGCTGCTAACCCCACCTCGTCTGCTGCTTCTGCTGCCGCCCCACCCTCCCCATTTTCTGCTGCTGTCCCTCCCTGCGCCTTTAACACCACCACATCTTTTTCTCCCTCCTCTACCCCTTCTCTCGTGCCCTCCATGGGGGCATCGCGCCTCACATGCCACAGGGGGTGGTGGTGGCGTGGCAGCGAAACATCTCCATTCGATCCCCCGAAAACGCCCAGCATTCGTCCCGCGGTCCGCTTTCTTGCAGCAGAGCGTATCTTCCCCTGAGCTCGCACCTGTGATTCCACATGAGCTCGCTCCTCTATTTTCACCTGAACGTTCCCTTGCGGTTTCCCCTCTGCACGTGGCACTTCTAAAGGAACAGTCTGACTCAGACTCATCTGTCGCTGCACGTGCCCCTGTGCTCGCCCCTGCAGAGGCGGTGTCTGCGATGCCAGCCCTCGAACCAGAGTCGCCTCTAAGGGAGAAGTCGTGCTTAAGCTCATCGGTGTCTGCACATGCCCTTGTGCTTGCCTCTGCAGTGATGGTATCTGTGGTGGTTGCCCTCGAACCAGCTGCAGCAACCGCCGCTGGTGGGATGTCACCTGAAGAAGGGGGGGCATGGGGGGAACATGAGTGGATGGTCCATAGAAAAAGGGGCGGTGGAATGAAGGCATGGGTGAAAGGGGGGTGGCGTGAAAAGGGTTGACTTGACGCAACAAAACTACTGGAGAAACCACATTTTTGCGATGACGCCAGGGGTGGATAGGTGGATATGTTACTCACATGCGCACACGTGGGTGGATAGGTGGATATGCTACTCACATGCGCACTGCTGTTGCTGGAGTTAGAGCTGCTGCTGCTGCTGCTGGCGTTTCCTCTTAATGCCTTCACATATGTGGCGTTCACTGTGTGGAGAGCAGAGCAGAGAGAGAAAGAGAGAGAAGTGGGAGAGGGAAGCGGGGTGAGGATACCAAGAAAAGACTTATGAGTTTACTCTCAGGAGCCAGTCGTTTCTTTTCAAAGCCTTGACCTATGTGGCGTTCACTGTCTGGAAAGCAGAGAGAGAGAGAGAGAGAGAGAGAGAGAGAGAGAGAGAGAGAGAGAGAGAGAGAGAGAGAGAGAGAGAGAGAGAGAGAGAGAGAGAAGTGGGAGAGGGGGAACGTGGGTGAGGGTACCGACGAAGCACTTTTGAGTTGACTCTCAGAAGCCACTCGTTTCTCCTCAAAGCCTAGACCTATGTGGCGTCTACTGTGTGAAGAAGAGAGAGAGCAGGGGGGCAGGAAAAAAGGAACCAAGAAAAAAGGAGGGATGGCTTTTGAGTCGACTAATAGACAGAAACTCTGTTGTGAAATTCAATACTTGCCTGATGTTGCAAATGGTTGCTTTCAAGTCGCTCTCAGTTGCTTGCACATACATGCGCAGAATCGATAGGCCGAATTTCACCATTCAAGACATGGGTGGTTGCTACTCTAGTTCACCGTCCGGTCAGCTTTTGGATGCCTGGAAACCTTCAAAACAAGCACAGATGAGATGAGTTACTCATGTAACTCATCAACCACCCACGAACCTTCATGAGATGAGTTACATGCAGCACATATCCTTACCTGAGCAGTTGATGTTTTTCAGGACGGTGGTGGTGGTCCGTAGCATCTGGAAGCAGAGAGGGAGAGAGCACAAGGACAGGTGGAAACGTGAGCGTATGGGGTTGCAAAGGTGAGTGTATGTCTGATAACCCGTTATGCTCTTGAAGCATGAATTGCTGTATCAATCCGTGTGCTCACCTGAACGCACGTCCAGTTGCTGTACTGTGTGATTGTCCATGTTGCACACCACACCACAGCACAGTCATACAACATACAGAGCACCATACAGAGCGCCCACCGAGCACTATACAGAGCACCATACCGCACCGCACTACACCACATCGCGCATACACTCCACAACTAAGCCGCTCACCTGAACGCATGTCCAGTTGCTGTACTGTGTGATGGTAAAGGGCGCCATGTTGCACACAACCGCACAGTCCACAAACACTCCCGACGCCTCTTCCACCCCCACGTTCTCACACGCGCCCAGCACACACGTTGCCATAGCAGCACACGTCTCCCTACACCCATACAGCCTCTTAGCCAGCACTGCTGAACGCCCGTTCGCCACTGTTGTCTTACTCGTCGCACACCCACCCCATGTTACCACTACGTCTTTACTCGCTCCCAAGTCTGTAAGCTGGGCTAACGTTGTATCCACCACCCCCCCTGATTCTCCCCCGTTGCCTGACACGCTCCAGGCCGTCCCCCAGCCTGTTGCTGAGCCTCGGGCGCTGGTTCGGCCGCCCCTGCCGTTGGTTCGTTGCAGGGTGGCGTTGCCACTGAGTGCGCCGACCACTTGCACTATCCCCCGAACACCGCCGCCCGGCGCGTCGAGCTTGATTTGCCAGTTGCCGTCCGGGATGAAAAGGTCTAATGCGATTTCTGATTGGAGCTCTGAAAACACCTGAGGCTCCTCGAACCTGAGGGAGGTTAGGGGAGTGTGGGAGAGGATTGCGGATGGGGAGGGAGCAGCTTGATTAATGTCCGCACATGCAAGGCAGACGACCATGTGGAGTGGGATGAAGCGGTCTACTGCTATTCCACAGCACACATACTGATATGCACACGACTCACCAGCACAGGTTGGTGGGTTGAACCATACACAGGTTCCAGGAGCTGCCCTGCTTGTCAGATTGCGAGGAGAAGGACGAATGGATATGAACCACCACGTGCGTCACGTTCTCAAACACCCCGCAGTCTGCTTCGCATCCGAACCGCCCGAATGCTGCATATTCTAGGGGGTTGTCGCACACGCTGTTGCCGCAGTGCGGCCCCTCCCACACCACCTGTGGTGCAGGCAGCGAACAGTGCAGCAGACACGATGGGTCGGAGTAAGATGGGGTTACACAAGACCTCTCTCAGTACTCCAAGGGTTTGTCGCACACATTGTTGCCGCAGTGAGGCCCCTCCCACACCACCTGGCGATGAGCAACCGAGGCAGCAGAGGCAGTAGAGGCAGAGAGAGGGGGAGGAGGGGTGAGACGTGTCAAAGCAAAAGCATCATCACGTGGGTCACATTCTCAAACACCCCACTGTCCGCTTCGCACCCAAACCGCCCAAATGCTGCTTACTCCAAGGGATTGTCGCACACACTGTTGCCACAGTGCGGCCCCTCCCACACCACCTGTGTGGTGGAGACCAGGAGACAGGACCAGCAACAGAGACGTAGGGAGACGAGGGTGAAGCTTTTGAGTCGACTCAAAAGCAGAGACGTAGGGAGACGAGGGTGAAGGAAGGCGTGATTAGAACCAGCATGGTGCGTGTCATGTGGGCGGGAGTTTGGTGCTAAGCATGTTAATCACACAATTCCCTGCACAGCAGCGCCTCGCCTAAGTTGCAATAAACGCTCAGGCCTGTTTGCGTTTAGCGGATATCCGCTTGCGTATACACGCAACACGCTATACGCAAGCGAATCCGCTATACGCTCGGCAAATTTGTTTTGGGGCAGCCCGGGCGGAAAAAAAATCGAACATACGGAAAGATGCGGAATTTCACGACGTGCGTTTTGCCGAAGGCGAATTGCACGAACGTGACTTGTCCAATTGTGGACGTGGCTTTTTGCAGAACGCGAATTGCACATACGTGACTTGTCCAATCGTGGACGTGGGTTCAACCCACGTAGTCGAGATTGGTTGTGTCAATTTGTCAAGTCGCGTTTTCACGTACACACTTTGTGCGCTCTGTTTGTTACCGCATTGAATCCCCTCCCATCTACTCACTCCAACCAAATGTCCCAATGTTCCCTTCTCTCGTTGTGCTACTTAGTGGGTTGCAAGCAACTACGCAATTCATCAGTTCCCCGTCTCTTTCGTAATGTCTAGCCCGCCATGCACACCGCCATCCGTTCAGACAGTGCAGAGTTCTCGGATTGTTCGACCTGAGGGTAGGGATTACCTTCCTGACATGCCGGAACACGCTGTCTTCAAACATTTCAGCCTCATTGTGCGGGAAGAAGGCAAAGCACAGCAGTACGAGTGTAAGTACTGCTTCAATGTTTTCACCGGTGCAGCCATTCGTTGCGCGCAGCACCTGTGCTCGTGGAAGGGAATGAAGCGTCGTGAGGTGACGCTTTGCAAGGAGGCACCGCAAGACGTACGCAACGAGATGCGCACCAAGTACGAAAAGATGGCTGCCGCGATCGAGGAAAAGCGCCGAGCAACATCTGCTGCAGTTGCGGCAGTACAGGCTGGCGGAGGGAAGCGGCGCATAACCGACTACTTGGAGGGAGATGCCGCTGCGGCTAAGCGGGATGCTCACGAGGGCCTTGCGCTGATGTTTGCGGCCTGCAGAATCCCGGAGGTCACCATGGACCACCCGCTGTTCATCAACGCCATGCTGCTCGTCAGCCGCGCCGGCAACAGCTACGTCCCCCCCAGGAGGACTTTCATTGGCGGGGCTGGACTGGTCGCTCTCCGCAAAGGGATTGAGCAGGGGCTGGTGGGGATTAAATCGAGCTGGAAGAAGACGGGGGTAACAATTGCGTCCGACATGATGACGGACAAATGTGGGAGGGCGCAAGCGAACGTGCTTCTGATCAACGACTCCGGCGCCGTCTTCAGGGAGGCGATCGACTGCGGTATGGAGCAGAAGACGGGGGGATACATAGCGGGGATTCTGCAGCCGGTGGTGGAGGAGGTAGGACCAGAAAATGTCGTCGCGTTTTGTATGGATGGGGGGTCGAACTATGCCGTGGCTGTCCAGGAGCTGATTGCCAAGTGGCCCCACATTCAGCAGGTCCCTTGTGCCACGCATGTGATGGGTCTCCTCCTGGAGGACGTGGGAAAGATGGGGTGGGCAAAAGGGGTGGTGGATCGGACTGGGGAGATGAGTTCGTTCGTTCGCAACCATCATTGGACGCGCGCTTACCTGAGGACCAAGGAGTTGGTGGAGGGGAAGGTGCTGCAGCCGCTGAAGCCAGCGGGAACACGGTTCGGGACACAATACATTGCTGTGTCCCGCCTTTGTCAGTTGTGTAGCACCCTCAACGCGATGGTGCTTTCCGACAGGTGGAAGGAGTGGGCCTCGGGGTCGCGGAAGGAAACTGCCGAGGCCTTTGCTGCACGGGTCCTCGATGACGCATGGTGGCGGACGGCAGAATTCTTCTGCAAGCTGATGCAACTGCCCTACAAGGCGATGCGGCAGACTGACGCAGATGCCAATGGGATGATGGGCCGGCTCTACGATGTAATGCTGCAGCTTACCGAGGATGTCAACAACATCCTGGACGAGGATGAGCAGCAGCTGAGTAGCGCGGACAAGGAAAAGATCCGCAGCATCATCAAGGACCGCTGGGATAACAACCTCGCCTGCGCCATGCACGTTGCTGGCCGAATCCTCAACCCCGCCAACCAGGAGGAGGATATCTTTGGCAACAACGCCGAATGCACCCGGGTTTTCAAGGCGTTAATCAACCAGCACGTGGAGTTCCTCATCGGCCACGACGGGAAGGGGAGGGATGAGGGTCCAGATTACTTGCTTGCCTTGGGTGACGGGCTGAGGGCTTTCTTGGACATGAAAGGCAGTTTTGGGATGCCGGAGGCGCTTGCACAGAGGGAGAAGGTGAAGGCGGGTAAGTACAGCATGGTGAAGTGGTGGCAGTGGAACGGCACAGATGCACCTCACCTGATGCGCTTCGCCGTGAGGGTGCTATCTCAGCCTGTATCGGCATCCCCTTGTGAGGGTGGGTGGGGAACTTGGGATGCAGTCCACATAGCCCGCCGGAACCGCCTCGGATCTGCAAAGTGCCAGGACCTGGTTTTTGTTGCGCACAACTGGAATGTTGTGCGCAACTGGCACTCGCGCGCAGATGTAATGCCGAACGTTGTGCCAGGGATTGGGGACGAGCCTCCTATTCCCGAGGGGTACAACGGGTTGGATGAGACGGAGGTGGAGGAGGAGGAAGGCGAGGATGACGTCCTGGAGGACGAGTACGCTTAGAACTAGGGTGGCAAGAGAGTATTAGTGACATGTGTGTAGGGATGAGCAATATGACGAACACTTCGAGGCGAACCGAACAGGATTTTTTTTGGCCTAAATTGTTCGGGGTGAACGTGTTCGGTGTTTGCCCGAACACGTTCACCGTTCGCCGGGCTCAGCTGGCCGAGGCGCGTCGAACACGAACGTGTTCGTGTTCGACACGGGCCTTCGACGAACACATTGGTGTTCGTCGACGAATAGGCCCGCGACCAATTTTTAGGTCGCGGGCCTTGGTGTTTGGGCTCAGATCAAGGCATTTCGCCACTGCTTAAGTGCGGATCAAGGCATTTTGCCGTTGCTTAAGTATAGATCTAGCATTTCGCCGTTGCTTAAGTGCGGATCAAGCATTTCGCCGTTGCTTAAGCTCAGATCTAGCATTTCGCCGTTGCTTAAGCGTAGATCTAGCATTTCGCCGTTGCTTAAGTGCAGATCTAGCCTTTTGCTGTCACACGCTGGCACTAGTATGGATGAAGCAGGGCGGGACTGCCTTGGGGGGTGGGGGGAGGGAATGTGAAACATTTGGATTTCACTCTACTTGGATCTAAGAAGGTCCTTTAAGGCGAACGCGAACATGTTCTGGGCGAACGTGTTCGTGTTCGCCAAAACGTTCGAAATGTTCGCCTCTCTTGGCAAACTTCGAACACCCTTTCTGGTGTAAAGTGTTCGGCGAACCGAACACTGTTCGGTTCGCTGAACGGCCATGTTCGAGCCCAGGCGAACACGAACATGTTCGTGTTCGCCATTTGCTCATCCCTACATGTGTGTGTGTATGGTGTCGTAATCTTATTATGGGGAAAAAAAAACTGTGTTGCAAAACCCCCAAAATGCCTCACCCCTCCCCCCCCCCCCAAACATCCCCAAGTGGTTTTTTTTGCCCTGCCCGGGAAAGTTTTTTCCCTGCCCGGAAAAGCGTATTCCAAAGTCGACCCCCAAGCGGATAGCGTGCATACGCTAGCGTATATACGATAAGCGTATATACGATAAGCGTATATACGCTATAAGCGTATATTGCAACTTAGCGCCTCGCCTGCCCCACCTGTATGATTACTCACTCCTATTATCTCCCACCTGTTCTATTTCTCAACTGTATTACTCTCACGAGTATCACCACGCACCTGTATGATGCTGTCGTTAACCCACTGGTACATCTCGTCCGGTCCACTCATGGCGTTGAGCTCACTGCCCGATGCCCCCTGGGGGAAACGGAGGGGAGAAAAGAGGAGAGTGGGGAAAGGAAGGAGGGAGTGGGGTGGGGGTAGGGGTGGGGGTTGATGGTGGGGTTGGTGTAAGAGAGTTGACCTCGCTTTTTCATGCACCCCCTACGGGGATGGGGAGGGAAAAGACGGAGGACAGGTGAGGAGAGGAAGACGTAGAGCGAGAGATATTACACTAGTTTCAGTTGAGGAACGACCACCACATAGGTACCGGCTACAGCACGACCGCCACATAGGTACCGGCTACAGCACGACCGCCACATAGGTACCGGCTACAGCACGACCGCCACATAGGTACCGGCTACAGCACGACCGCCACATAGGTACCGGCTACAGCACGACCGCCACATAGGTACCGGCTACAGCACGACCGCCACATAGGTACCGGCTACAGCACGACCGCCACATAGGTACCGGCTACAGCACGACCGCCACATAGGTACCGGCTACAGCACGACCGCCACATAGGTACCGGCTACAGCACGACCGCCACATAGGTACCGGCTACAGCACGACCGCCACATAGGTACCGGCTACAGCACGACCGCCACTTAGGTACCGGCTACAGCACGACCGCCACATAGGTACCGGCTACAGCACGACCGCCACATAGGTACCGGCTACAGCACGACCGCCACATAGGTATCGGCTACAGCACGACCACCCACCTCTTATCTTGACCCACTGTATCCAAACTTGCACCGAGCTACACTGACATCCAAACACGCTTGTAGTGCTCACCGAAGGATAGACAGCACCAACATGTAGACAGTATACCCTGTGGTTCTCACCGAAGGGAGCAGTCTGTTGTGCGAGGTGGACACCTCAAACCCATAAGTGGAGTCTGCTTGCATGTACAGCACCACTTACCAGCATTTACAGCACCAACATGTAGGCAGTAGACCCTGTGGTTCTCACCGAAGGCAGCAGTATGTTGTGTGCGGTGGACACCTCAAACCCGTCCGTGGAGTCTGCTTGCATGTACAGCACCACCATATACAGCACGATGAAACAGAGGAACGACACCAGATTCTTGTAGTCGTCTAATCGCTTATCCGCTGCTTTGACTTTGAAGTAGATGTCTGCGGTTACAAGAGTGGATGGCGGAGGAGGGGAGGAGAGGAGGGGAGGGAAGGGGGGTCGGCTTGCATGTACAGCACCACCATATACAGCACGATAAAACAGAGGAACGACACTTCTTGTAATCGTCCAGCCGCTTATCCGCTGCCTTCACCTTGAAAGGGATGCCTGGAATACGAGCAGGGAAGGGAGAGGGATAGGTTGGGCGTGTGCGTGTGGAGAGCACTGCGATATAGAGAGCACGATGACGCAGAGGAACGGCACCAGGTTCTTGTAATCGTCCAGCCGCTTGTCTGCCGCTTTGACCTTGAAGTAGATGTCTGGGGGGGCAGGGGAGGAGGGGAGAGGGAAGGGAAAGGGAGTCTGCTTGCACGCAGAGCACTGCGTTGTGGACGGCAGTGAAAGCACAGGAATTAGAGTCCAAGGAACGACAATCACGGGAACGATACCAGGTGACTGCAAGTTCGAACCAATCCCGCACCACCCCTCAACTTCCAGCATCACAGCATCGATCTGCTCCTCGTCCTCCTCCTCATCGCTCGCCCAATCCTCCCAATGCACAGCAGGCTGCCTCACGGGCTGGTTGCTCCCCCCTCCAAGTGCCATACCAGCTACTATACTCATCATTCATCACACACCCCCACCACTCACCTTCCAGCATCACAGCATCGATCTGCTCCTCGTCCTCCTCCTCATCGCTCGCCCAGTCCTCCCAATGAACAGCAGGCTGCCTCACCGGCCGGTTGCTCCCTCCCCCGCCACCACTGCTCCTTCCTGTGGTGGTGTGCTGACCCGTGGCGGTGGTGGCGTCATGGTCATCCGCGGTGGGGACCTTGAAGGTGCCGTCTGGAAGGAGGATGTGTGTGTGCTTGCCCATCGGCACCTCCTGTGACGGATCGTAGTCCGTGGGAGGGGGTGTGCCTTTGAGGACGGTTGCGGCCGAGGCATGGCCAGACCTGGACGGGAGGTCCGGGAGATTCGGGAGGTTGGGGCAGGAGAAAGGCTAGCTGAGCTAGTGGAGGGTGTGTGTTTTGGTGGAATCGGGTGGGTGTGCTGCCCAGTAGCGGTACTGGCGTCATGGTCATCCGCGGTGGGGACCTTGAAGGTGCCGTCAAGGAGGAGGATGTGTGTGTGCTTGCCCATCGGCACCTCCTGTGACGGATCGTAGTCCGTGGGAGGGGGCGCTCCGCCTTTCAAGAGAGCGTTGCTGTCAAGAGGGGGTCGCGCCAGACCTGGACGGGAGGTTTGGGAGGGTGGAAAGGCTAGCTGAGCTAGTGGTGGGGTGGGTGTGTGTTTTAGCGGAATCAGGTGGGTGTGCTGGCAGCTGACCCGTGGCAGTGGTGGCGTCATGGTCATCCGCGGTGGGGTCCTTGAAGGTGCCGTCTGGGAGGAGGATGTGTGTGTGCTTGCCCATCGGCACCTCCTGCAACGGATCATAGTCCGTGGGAGGGGGTGCGCCTTTGAGGGCGGTTGCGGCCGAGGTATGGCCAGACCTGGAGGGGTGGTTCGGGAGGGGAGTGAGGGGAAGTAAACGTGCGTGTTCTTGCCCGTTAGGACTTCCTGCGACGGATCATAGTCCGTGGGCGGGGGTGTGCCTTTGGCCTGAGTGGCTGTGGTGGTGGTTATGTCCCACATTATCCGCACCACAGCGTGCTCTCTTCACCTTGTAGACATATTATCCGTGTCGGGTCCCACTTTGCTTCCCGTGCCCACAGTGCTGCCCTCCTTCTGACTCCCCCCCCAGATCGCCGCAGCAGCAGACACCGACAGAACCTTCGCCGCAGCTGCCACCACCGCCGCGTCTCGCTCTTTGTCCTTATTCGAACCCCCTTTTCCAATCCGCTCTGTGCCGTTAGCCGTTGCGCTTCGTTCCGTTCCCCGCTCCGTCCCCCTATCCGTTCCCCTATCCGTTCCCCTATCCGTCCCCCTATCCGTTCCCCTTTCCGTACCCCTATCCGCGACAGAAATGCTGCTCCTATGAGTCGTCTCGTACCCTGACACGCCGCTCCGCTCTGTCCCCCTCTCCGTGCCTAACGGCGGCGTTTGCGGCCGCGGCCGAGCCATCAGCTCTCGACTCCGCGGAACCAGCTCCCCACTCCGCGGAACCAGCTCCCCGCTCCGCGGCACCAGCGGCTCCTGCACCTCCGGCTCCCCCCGCGACCCTCCCCCTCCGCGCTTGAACGACACACGCGCGCGAACGGTTTCCCGCCACAACGCATTTTTTTCCTCCACGCTCATCCGCCTCCTGTCGCCGTGTCCCCCTTCCTGTCCACCTCCCTGTCCCCCGCCGTGTCCCCCGGCGTGACCTCCGCCGAGATTGTAGGCGCGGGCTCCGCCGGGAGCGCCGTCGTTTTCTTCGTGAGCCGAGAGCGGCTCGAAGCTGAGGCTGGATCGACGGCTACGATTGCCGACCTCTGACGCGTCGCCATCGTCGCCGAACAGGAAACTCTCAAGATCACCGTCCGTGACGCGGTTGCTCCCGCCGGCGCCGCCGCGACGAATCACAGCCGTTACTACTTCCGCCATTCCAGCGCCACTAGTAGTAGTTTCCTACCATCAACTGGTGTGAGTCCGGATAATTCCGGACCCACCTATTTACTACCTTCACCACTATCAGCAAGTCCGTGGTGGTAACTACAAATTTTTAGTCAGCTGCACAGTTGGTTGCGCCATATCAAACGCTACACCTGGTCGGCTTGTTCCACGCTTCACGCGTGTGGAGCATAGCAGCCAGAGCCAGCTGTACTGAAATTGGTATCAATAACTCGAAAATCGTGCCGCGCGTGGATCAGAGCGTGCTGTGTACTGAGTTTGAGATCCCTCCGTCCAATTAATTAACAAATAAGTAACCTATCTGCTGCTTCCGCTGCTCTGTCTACCTTGAGACGACCTGACCCAGTATTTTCTAGCGTGCAAGATTATTGAGGTGTTTTCCCTTGATTTCTTGAATCGTCAATATAGTTGAAATGGCGAAAAACCTTCTAGGATTCTTCTCAGGCCCCTACCCTGACTTTTCCTCGAACAATGTGTCGCATTGTCGCACTAACGTCGTCACACACTGATTGTCGCACACGAAAACGCCACGGCGAAATTCTGCGTGCATAAAAATAATTCAGACGATATTAAAGACGGAAAGGCCGGCTTAAATCAGGTATAAGTAACTAAGCGCGTGGTTCCGCGAATGTAAAAACCGGTGACAGCCAACAGAGCGGCCAATGACAAGCAGTTCCAGTGACGTCCGGACAGATGTATCAGCAATTTCCGAGCAGTACAAGTAGAAGTACTAGGGGAGTATGTCGACCGATGCTTGATAGTACCGTCTGTTAGTTTGCTGGATGTTCAAATAGTACTAACACAGAGGTTAGCAGTCACCATGAAGTGTCGCCGACTAAAACTGTACTCCAGTAGTAACCGAGAGATTTGTGGTTGTACAGTGAGCTGGACGATACGTTGAGCTGTACTCAGCATTGCTTGCAGTGCTACGGAACAGAATTTCCACCTTGTTGTATCCAGACACTTGCTCGCGGAGTGCTTCGTGTGGGTGCTTTGTTAGCTCGGCTATGGTCCTCATTTCCGCTGTACAGTACTGCTGTTCGTGTGGACTAGAAAAACTCCAGTCTGGACTCTGGAGTTTTGGATGGAGTGGGTGGGAGTTCCGTTCAGAGACAGAGAGTGGTGGCAAGCGAGCATGGTCTCGGGTCAGGACAGGAGTGCTCGTTGGGCAGGGTAGGTACTGTACCCTTGGAGCTGAGCTGAACCTTGAGAGCTCAGCTCATCCGAGCGACATTTGTCTCGATAAAGACAGGTTGTGGACGCCATTGCAGGTATTATCGAGGGCCTACCGAACAGATTGATCGAGGGTTGGGGGTGCGAGTTGAAAGAGAGGGACGGCTGGGATCATTGGGACATTTCACGAGATGCCCGCCTGACGTCCGTCGTTTACCCAGCTTGTCTGGTTTGCGACGTCGTTCTGCAAGTCGGTTAGTCGTCGGTCGGTTCGGTGCTGCTGGTTCATTAACGGTTCCGTATCTGAATTTTCTCGCCAATGTCAGATAGGGTGGGAAAAGTCAGGTCTGGTCATCCAAGCCGATGAGCTTGAAATCATTTTCCAATATTCAATCTGATTTTCATGCCCAGCTGAAGCAAATCGCTAGTAAGCGTCGTGATTTCTGACTCGGTTTCAGCAAAACCATTCAGTTGAATGGAAATCAAGGGTTCCTTTGACGTCCCAGGTACGTTTTGTGCTTTCAACCGGTGAATCCAGAATTCGCACCGAGAGGCAGCAATATACACCAGCTCAAGTGTATTCTTGCGAGTTCCGTGGGGTCTAGAGACTTTCCGAGGGTTTCTAGCTTGGGAGGGGAAGGTAACTCGGTATCCCATCACCAACCTCTCTCCACAATAACCAGCCGTATCCTCTGGAAGATTCGGTGATTGGAAAAGCCATAGGCCTTGCTGCATCCTGTAAGTCCAAGAATTCGCTTGTGCTGCCGCGACTTGCGACTTGTCTCCGTTTGTACTCGCCTGCTTGTCCTACACTCCACCGTTTGTGAGTTCTACGGACACTGTATCCAGTTAATTGATATTGTGGTGCCATACAGAATTTCCATTCCATACCGAGTTTACCCTACATCCCGTACTAACTTGACTTGTGGGCATGCTTGGCCCTAAGACCTCGCCTTCCAAGGTTGTCTCGCGGCGTTCTCAGACATCTCGTGCCCAACCGTCTGCTCAGCAAGTCGCCAGCGGGACGGGAGAGATCCTTGGGAACACGGGGGACCATGACCATACTCTGGTCTTTTTTTAAGACTGGAGCACCCCTCATTACTGTGGGGAGTGCATT